CACCAATTGCCTTCAGTGAGTTGTTATCTCACAACAGACGTGATTGAACTCCACTGATCACTGCTTCCCACTAGAACTCCAGGACATATATCTTGAAGTCAGTCACTAGTGAGCATATGATTATAATCAGAAGGGGATTTGTGGAGATTTCAGTATATTTCAAAGTTGAAATCATGAGTCAATTGAAGCTAGACCACCATCGAAAACCTGGAAGCACTGGACGGCCGTTTCGTCCTACTATGGGACTCCTCAGCAGTGCGCATCCACGAACCCGCTCTCGCGAGCAAGATTGGAGATTCGAACCCAGGACCTACTGACTTCAAGTTACATGTCCTGGAGTTCTAGTGGGAAGCAGTGACCAGTGGAGCTCAACCACGTCTGTTGTGAGATAACAACTCACTGAAGGCAATTGGTGAAGTGTCGCTCATAATTCGTGGATCAGTTGAAGTTAGACATTAACACCGTTGGATGCCGGCTCAGTGGTTTATCGGTTAAGGGCTCTAGCTCGTAACTGGTAGGTCCTGGGTTCGAATCTCGCTCGCGAGAGCGGGTTCGTGGATGCGCACTGCTGAGGAGTCGCATGATAGGACGAAACGGCCGTCCGGTGCTTCCAGGTTTTCGTTGGTGGTCTAGCTTCAATTGACTCATGATTTCAACTTAGAAATAGTTAATTTTTTTGGTAAACATGAACAGTAGCTGCTTGAAATTATCAATTTTCAAAGAAACGAGTTTAGGGTATTGACACACAATGCTGGATGCCTTTTCCAGATGTATCTCCGCTAAGAGATCAGAATGTGTAAATATATTGGAGACATTTAGGCTATCAGGCTCCAGTGCATAATCAAACCTATCCTTCAGACTGTAAGAAGCTCGTCTCTAGCTGATTAGACCTAAGTATTACGAAATATAAGCAATTCACATTAGTCTGCCTGAACTGTTGTATTGACTTTATTCAATTTGCTGACTGCGTTAACATCGGTGATAACCAACGTGAGTTAACCGACTGCAGGCCACCACTAGTAAGTTTTGAACAGTATTATTTATCTATCTACATAGTATTTTCTGCGAGATCCTAGTATCGAAAGCCTCACAACTAAGAAAAACCTATTTCACCACACAACCGTACTATTTACATTCAGTAGTCTGCACTGAGTTGGGTAGGGGGATATCAAATCACTTGAAAAATGAAATCGACAATATCGATCTGAATTTTTGAATATCCGATTTGGGATGTAGTGTAATTTTCCAAAGTTTTCTAAAAGAGGTTGGTCATCAGTCACAAACTGTTTCGAAATATCGGGCTTCGAACAGATGGCATTTATATAAAGCATTAAAAGGAAGATGGTTTGTAGACGAGTGATAACTGTCCACTTGATGATAAAGCACAAAACGATCAGATGCTGAAATGATAGTCAATTAACCATGCGGAAATATTGGAAAACAGAATGAAGGTGACAGATCTTTGATTATGGAAGCCAGAAGGGAATGTTGAGGTCATAAACGACCAAAACTAGTGTTCGTTGTGAATGCAAAGGACTAATAAACCAAAGTTCATTCGATTTGACGGGACTATGTTCTACCATGCGGCATAAAAACCGTTTATTGAGATACGCGCGCTAAATTATATCAGAATATAACCGCTGAACTTATTTTATCTGGTTCCAAGTTAACGGAGGAAAATTATCTGAAAAGTACAAAATATCTCACAGTACTGCCTGTTGAATACAATGAAAGGTTTTTCTAGCAAAAATAGGCGTACCACACAGTAAACAGAGTAGTTAATTGATAAGTGTTAGGTAACTGAGATTCAATCAGATTATTCACAACAAAATGAGATCAAATATACATCTTGCTCGGTCCGAGTAACGGTTTCCAGCAAGGATCCGAAAGTCAAGAATGATCAATCAATTCACGCCGCAAACTTTAATCTGGTCAAATAAAACCTCAATATTGAGAAGAAAATGGTTTGGCCGTAGTCAGATTTTTCTCAATGAGAATGATGAAAAGTGTAGACATGGCTCAAACTTGAAGGCCAATCGCTTGTTAGCTCAGTAAACATAATATCTGTTTATAATCGTGATAAATCAATGAGGCAAAAGAGTGAAGAAGGGAAGGATCCACATTGTTCGACGACATTATTGTCCGAAATCTCCTTTCAAACACTTAGTTGAATCAGATGTCACTAAACCGTATTCTTATATCCTAATGAAGACATGAGTACGGGAGATTTCCGGGACCTATTAATGGACGATTATTCTATATATTCCTATTGTCTAACTATTGAGTAATTAGATTGTGTATATCTATATTCATGCTATTACAAGCTTAATTTTGACCTATGAAATGTTATTATACGATTTACTGTTCCCAAAATTATATTCAGTTTATTGATTACTGTCTCCCACGCTCACAGCCACACTTGGCTTGATCTTGTACAAATATTGTTTTCTGTTTTATGCTGTGATGCAGTCTGTCTGTCTGGCATATAAACCGAGCATGCTTGATATAAATGATTCTCATAGCGGAAGTTGTAATTGGTGTTCTGGACTCAATTGGATGGGCTAGGCGGACAAGGGACCAATAAGGACGCTGGGCAGCTCACACTGGTCGAACGTCATCGATTGGCACAGTGTTAAGATTAGACAAGTCATATTCCGACTAGCGGACAACTCACGTGATAAAAACCGGACATAAAATCTTGACGAATTGGATTTGGCCGTCTTATTTTATAGTCATAACAAATTGACGATGGCTTTTTGTAGAGTCATAACACGTAGAGTGTGAGATTTTACCCGATTACTGACAGTAAAATAAGTGTTGCACAGGGCACTGAAACGTGATCTGTCATTGATATTTGACCTGAATACTCTCAACAGGGATTGTGCTGAGTTGATGACTCATTAAGTTAATCGTTTTGGAGATTTATTTCCACCTTTAGGAGCAAAGATTGCAAAGCTATAATTTACCCTTTATTTTCTCGATTAAACTAAGGCTGAAAAATAAGCATGATATGAGTAGTACGAATGCATAGAGTGTGAAACACAGTTTTGCAAGACAAAGAAAAGGATGTCATATATCACAGTCTATTTGAGCAGAACAGCCATATTTGTGGTAGCATGAATTCTGTGGTGAAGTAAAGCATTTATATTTGTATCCACGTTAGACTGTGAAGTTAAAGTTCATTGACAACTGTCCACCGAATATTTGTAGTATTTGCTGCAAATGAGAAGTCAAGTGACTGGAAAATCAACACACCGAACATGCCCTAGGCAATTCCTTACAGTAAATTCCAGTTGTTATTCATTCTTAAGATTTCCGCTTCTCATTCCCGATGTAGTGTGTTCCTCGGCATTCCTCTTTCACGTCTCTTTTCGAGATTCGAAGTTAGGGATTGCCTAGTGATGCAGTTTAGGGATTTCTATAATGTATATCCTATCCACTTCCAGCGTCCTTTCCTAATTTCCTCTTCAGCTCGAACCTGGTTTGTTCTCTCCCACAGTAGGCTGTTTCTGATGGTTTCCGACGAACGGGCATTGTTGTGAGTTCCATATGTTCTTCAACTGTAGGAATATGTCCCTCGCTTGCCAATCCTCGACATTACACATACAATGGATCTTGCTTGTTCGTCGATGATACTTCTTAGGTAGGTGAGTTTCCCCACATGTTCCAGTCTCCATCAAGTGTGATTGGGTTGGTGTTCTTCGTGTTGTATTTGATGACCTTGAGTTTTCCTCTGTGTACGTTGAAGCCTAGCAATGGAGAGGCTTCTGCTTCAATTATTGTCTTCAACTGCATATGTTGGTGTGTATAGGATAGAAGGGTTAAGTCATCTGTGAAGTCATAACTGCATAGTTTCATCCATGCTGTGCATTATATTCCGCGCTTCTCTTGGTATGTGAGGCGTCTTTTCAGACACTTTTATGTCTGACTGACCTTAATCGTCATCATGATCACCATAAGTGTGCCCGTGTCTCTGGAAAACATTTGTTGTGATTTCCTTTCTCCTTTAGTTTGAAGGATGCTTTCATGATCCTGATTCTATAAGATTCTCATCCTATAAGTGCTCAAGTGTTTCTTTGGACAGCATCAGAGTAACTTTCGGATTGTGTTCTACCCTCAACTTCCACTGCTATTGAATCTTAGTAAGTGACTTGCCTTCTTTGTTCACGACCGGTACCTCAGGTTTACTATATTTCGCTGCCAGTTTCTTCGTTGTGTCATATAGCTGTCTCATATTTCTTGCTCTTGAAGCTTTTTCCGCTATCGTTGCTAGCTCTTCCACGTATTTCTGCTTGTCAGCTCTAATGCTCTTCACTTGCTTGTTTGCTTCTGTGTATTCAGCTTATGCCTTGACTTTCTGCGCTCTTGTTTGGTTGTTGTCAATTGCTGTTTTCTTGTTCTTCCTTTCCTGAATCCTGTCCAGAGTTTCCATGGAAATCCATGCCTTACGATGATACTTTTCGCTGTTCAAATCCTCCTTACACGTTGAAGTTAATGCTTCTTTGATCCCATTCCTGTTGTCCTCTATAGTAGTTTCTCCTTCTTTGAGTAGATCTTGTAAGGCTTGGAATGTGTTGCTGAGAGCTATCCTCGATTTGTTGAGTTTGTTAGTATGTCAAGGGAAGGTTGTATTAAACTTCTGTAATGTTGTTTCCTCCGATTGTCCAGTGTTTCCTTAGGCCAAGTTTCATCTTGATCACAATCAGATGGCGATGTGAAGTTATGTCAGATCCTCTTCTGGTTCTCACGCCTTCCATCATCCTTCAGAATTTTTTATTGATACAAATATGATCTATCTGGTTCAGCAAACATACATATTTCCAGAATGAAGGAAGTTAGATTAAAATATTGTAACATGAATGTAATTTGAAAGGTTAATGTCATTTTTGAGGGTACCGCCATTGACTTGTTGCTCATACTCTGGCGCTCTAATTGGCTGCGGCACTTTTGGGGAGGTAATGTTGGGATTTTCTGGCTTGTTATACATACGGGAGAGATAAATGAGGACGCTTCACGACAGGATTAATGAACTTGTCTCTCTTTATACTAAAAGTTCACCCCTGCTAGAGGACAACTCTCTTAGCGTAGAATACTTGTTAGACACAATCGTTTGCCTGTCTTATGAATGCAAACTTCCTCAACACAAAAATGAGAGGAACTGCATTAAGTTCTATAATGCTGGTAAGAGGCCTCAGTTTTTTACTGTCTTCTAGTTAAAAAATACGTCGATAAGATTGAGAGTTGTTGGATATCTAAGTCAGAATTTGAAACCATAAGACTGATTGGATCGGGAGCCTTTGGAGACGTATCAGTTGTTAAATGGAAAAATGATGGAAGAATATATGCTTTGAAATCTCTCCATAAGTACGATATGCTTAAACGTTCAGACGTAAGTTATTTAAAGCTTCTTAGGATACTTTTAGAGAGCATGCTTTCAAGAAGAGCGTGATGTAATGGTGAAGGCAATGGTCAGTAAATCTCTATGGCTGGCAAAATTACATCACACATTTCAGGACGAAAAGTTTTTGGTAACTTTACTTTTTATCTTATTGTAAACTAAGTATTTTCTCATGGATTTCTACAATGGCGGGGATATGCTTACAATGCTGAGCAAGTTTGACGACAAGATACCTGAAAACATTGTACAGTTCTACGTTTCTGAAATGGTATTAGCCATTGACTCTTTGCATCAACTGGGTTATGTTCATAGAGATATAAAGCCAGATAATGTGTTGCTACAAAGGTGAGTTTTATGATGAATGGCACATCCAAGTCTGTTCACTAGTAATATATGAAATAGCAGGACAGTTCCGCAATTTATTTAACTAGCTGGTCGTAATCGTGTTTTAGTCCACTGACTAGTTTATCCTGAGTTTTCTAGGCCCCAAACACCTGAAGGAAAAATTAAGTTTGGTTCTGAGAGTTTTCCTGATAAATTTCTGACGTGCTGTAGTATATCTACAGTTCTAAAAATGGCCACTAATAGCAAGCATTTCATTCGTACTTCACGTCTCTTGATTTGGTCAGTTTAATATACTTTTTCTTCATTGTTATCATTGAACACTTTAAGCGTGTCTATGTGTGTACCTTTTACCCATTGAAGGTGTGGATCAACACCGGCAAAATAGTCTGGAATTCTAATCACTCAGTTTTTGGGTTTTGAGTCACATTTTATATGCCTAGGTCTAAAAATTCTTCACATCTTTCTTTATAAAATATCAATCATAAGATATCCAGATTCATGCATTTCCCGACGTGTGGGAACTGCTTCGGGTCCACATGTAATGCATACGGATGAGGTGCTAAGTCGATTTGAGGTAGCTAAATTACTACGAAGTTTATCAACAACTTTGTTGGACTGGATTGACCAACAAAAGACTCAGAATGTATTGGTATAACTAGGTTCGTGGCAAAATGGCTAAATATCTTTGAGATTTATTAATTTCGTTTATTAAGTTGTATCTTAACTATTCGAATAAAGTTGTAAAATGAGCTAGCTATATTTCTTCAGATGAAGTACATTGTAATTTGTTTCGGTGCTTGTTTTTGAAAATCAAATGAGTTGTGGGTGGTCACACTGTAGTTTAATAACATTAAGGCTAACATCAACAGTTCATCTGCTGGCTACATAAACCACTTGTCAATAAGTTTCTTCTCTTTGTTGCTATAGCTCAGGTCACATTGTCCTTGCTGATTTTGGTTCCTGTTTAAAACTTGGCGAAAATGGGTTAGTGAAAAACAATACAGCCGTTGGGACACCAGACTATATATCACCAGAAATTTTGCGGGCTTCAGAAGATGGCCATGGGACATATGGTGTTGAATGTGATTACTGGTCTCTCGGAGTCGTGATGTACGAAATGCTCTTCGGCGAAACGCCTTTCTACAGTGAAAATCTCATCGAAACTTATAGTCACATTATGAACTTTGAGGTAAATCAAATTCCAAAAATTTCAAACTGAAGTTATGACCAAATGCATCATAGACACATGTACTAACATTTTGGGGAAAAACTACTTTATGAAAAAGCGGGTAGCAGATAATTAGTATTAATAAACGGCATCTTTGATATATGCTTCGAATACGGCTTATCGATTAAAGATCAAATTTAAGCACTAAGGATGACCACTTTCACTATTCTTACTTAACTTTACCTTGGATATTCTTCCAGAGATAATACTCATCTAACTTTTTAAGATTTGATCTCATCAGAAGAATCAGATGTTCATTTGGGATACACAAAAGACAGTTATGTTTGATGAAGAAGCTGATAAAGTGCAGTCTTCTGATCGCCTCCATTAACAATGAAACCATATTCGAAATGTGTTTCTCTCCCTCTAAAGCAAAATATTTCTTCATGACTAGTCTACATCAACTCCTGAACTAATAATGAGTGACGTAGTTGAGTGCATCAACTGCTCCATTTATTTTAGAAGTCTAATCTCGGAGTTAGTTGGTGTCTGTCTGAATATCTGTATGGATTCAGGATGCTATGTTGGCGTTTGCCAACATCCATTACTTGTAATGTAAACGTTGTAGTGTCCACCTACCAACATATGGTCGAATATACTGATCAACAGTTCGTTCTGACACTGTATATCGGTGGAACATAATCTTTGGAAACAGAAGGCATGTATATTGTGCATGAGTTTCGGTGATTCTCTATACCCATATTGCATTAGAAAGATGATCAATCTAAATTTTGCATATTGGTTAAGATGACTTTGATTCAATCAATTTTTAACGCATTTTTAAAATAAGACTATTCAGAGTAAATTCTGTTAGTTAACTTTCAGTGTATTTCTAGTTGTAATTAGTTATTTGACGTTCTACACACTTTTCCTCGTATTGAATACTTTGTTGTGATTTTGTGTTCAGCGATAATTACTCAGTTGATAAGATTTTGAAATTAATAATCATTTGATCGATATGTAAATTAATGTGAATGTAAATTTGTTTCTTCTCAAGGAGTTTTGATCACAAAAGCCTCCATATAAACAACCCACTAGTCGGCGAAAAATAATTAGTGTAGAAGAAGTGTCATCTATCGTAATTAGTTTTATGTCGCAAAATGAGTTTTCATAGCTACTCACCAGATTTCTCCCATAGATGTCTTCAAAGTATTCCTCGTATATGTTACGACCATCGAGTTCGCAGTGCTAATGTTATACTCAGAATACTAGGTAAAGATGACAAATCGGTTGATGTGAATCGTATTCGGCTAAGGTGGTTTAAACAGGTATTACGTATACCGAACTAAAACGTGGCATCCGTTCACAAAGCCAGTGACTGCTTATTAGAGCTGTGTTGGCATATAAAGACTACCTGTCCGAAGTCTTCACAGAAGCGGTGACTAGTGGTTAGAGACGTTTGGTTACAGAGCTCAGGATCCGTCTCAATGACAGTTGCACTCAATCTTTGCTCTCTCTTAGATTTTGTACCTCAAAATCTTGCGCTTTCTTTTCTATATCTAATCGCCTCATACTGCAAATATGGTGTGGCAACCGATGATATAGTTTAGTCTGTTGATTAAATGTAGTCTTTTGAGCACTTCGAGCAACAACGCAGGTGTGTTTGGGATATAATTTTCTCTCCTTAAGTGCAAAATGTTACTTCGAGGGTGGTCTGAATCAACCTAATAGTAGAGAGCGAAGTAGTTTTTATCACCATTTGCATGAATACTCTGTTTACTAGGTACTTCATATATGTAGGTATTTTAAAGTCATAAAGTCGTTGTCTATTTTTAGAAACATTTTACCATTCCGACTGATTGTGTAAAAATTTCCGAATCAGCATGTGACCTAATACGACACCTGATTTGTGATCGGAAACGAAGGTTTGGTCGAAATGGAATAGATGAGTTGAAGGGTCATGCTTTTTTTAATGGCATCGATTGGGAACATATTCATGAACGTAAGTTATATATACCCAAAATATTTTTTCAAGTTCATTAAATATACTGTTGAAGATTCAGCTATTCTGGACAATACATAATTTCCTCCGACAAAAAGCACTTTTGACAGTATCTTTTTATATGGTTACAGTAAAATATAAAACGACTTAGAAATCTAAAATACCGGGACTGGTATTAATATTGTTTACTTTCCTGGAATTATTCATGTAGATACCTTCATCTGGTGCTATTTCAGGGTTTTCTTGGTACTTCTAGACATATAGTTTGTATTCTGACCTTCCGTAATTAGTTGTGCCTACATTTCCTGCTAAGTACATTTGCTTGGTTATCTCTCATACATGTATGTCTTGAATCGTGAGTGAATTTTATCGATGAAGTAAGAAGTAATGGTAGCACGTATGTTGTGTGCGTTTTGTGGAAACATACGTAGATTATAAGTATTTAATCATATTTATTTATGCAACACTCCTGTTTAGTTTCCTGACTCTAGGATTTAATTTGTCCTACAGATATACTAATAGAACTGTAAACGCGATACTGGTGATCCCAAGGTCTATGTGAAAGCTGTAGTCAGAACAAGGACAACTTTGCCTTAAACCTTATCTGTTTATGCCGAACAGTATTGCGTGTCTTATCGAAATGAATAAAAATTATGAGTCACCCTAATATAATAGGATAATAATGTCTTTCAATTGGTAGGTCACATGCAACAGGGATAGTTCACAGACACATCAGAACAGATTAACGTGGTGGGATCCTAAGCAACGATCTGCTTGGTTGTGAATATAACTAACACTGATCGTTGTTGCTACCTTGATGTGTAGTTGGACTTACCTATCGTAATAAATCGACCGGACTATGCTGGCTGGAACAATCGTTCCTCAAGGTCCTACCATGCCAGGCAGGTCAGTTAAAGAACGATAAGGTCCGAGAGCGAATTCGTACTGTTGACTGTACAGAGGTGTGACGGCAGTAAGGTGTTTCCTTCAGAAAGCCATAACAGCTATGCTGCCTTCGCACAAAGGGAGAGTGGGATTAGAAATGGTCGACCCTAGAATCACACACTTCACCTTATCTCACGGATATCTATCTCCGACGGTAAGGTCTCAACAAGTACGGGGTTAACACAAAAATTACTCACAAAAGGTCGTGTGTGACCAACCTCAAGCAGTTGTCCCTTGGGCACTGCGGTCACACTCTCAGGTCACGAAGACCAACTTTAATTCAATTTCCTTTTCAGGTATCTCTAGAAGAACCTTTACACAGTGTGCGCAATCAAGAAGTGATAACCAAACCTCATACCTTTAACAGTACTCAAGACTATTCATAATAAATCCCTGTCTAATTTATGTCGAAATGAATCATCATCATCTATATCGAGCTATATTCACGAACAAGATAAACTTGTTTTGAATGAATAATCACCCGTGATCACAAATTTCGGGTTGAGTAACAAATAATTTGCTAGGTTGTCTTGATATCGGAACCCATCCGTCACCAATATTAAAATTATTTTTGTAAGCCGCATAATAATACATTAGTATTCACAAATCACCACTCATTCTTCAAACCTCAGTTACTGCAAATCCTAATAGTTGCCAAATACCTAATAAAAGCGTAATACGGATCAATGAGTTAGCCAACTTTGTAAAAAGGTTATGGACTCATTCAACACATACTCATTGAATTAGATTATTTCATATTTATGTGGTATATATATATGGTCTGTATGTTTTAACACTATATTATCACGATATTCAATTCGACTGCTCCGTCTGTTTTACTTTGTGTTAACATCAATAATGGAGTGTAGTTATATCCAGCTGATGGGTCTCAAATAAGGTGAGACTCGTGCCCTGGATCCCACTGTCAGCCACTATCCAACTCCGGCTAAAGTGTTTGTGACGTAGTAATGTCAATTAAGAGGCAGTTCATACAGAATTCTTTTATATAAAAAGAGACTGACCAATTTCAGTTCATCATATCAACGTGGAGGTTCAAACAACCACTACAGTCATTAATACGTTGAGCAGATTTTTTGGAGGCCAAATATAGTTGCTAGAATGTTAATACTGCATGAGTTATACTTGGAGTGTAATGAAACATTTAACGATTGTACTTTTTAAATATTCACTTTAGAAATTCCTCCGTACATCCCCGAAGTCACCAGTCCAGATGACACTTCCAATTTTGATATTGAACAATCTTCTCGAAATCACGTAAGTGAATATAATTTATGTGGTTGACATTCGATGGATAACTAGTGTAGAACAACACAATGAGTTCATCTTTAGCTTTGTAATTAAATTCTTTAAGCCCCAAATATCCGCTTCTGTCTGTAGTTATCGACTTATAAGTTATGTTGAGATTTATATTAGATAATAAAGTCACTTCAATGTAAAATATGGAATAACCACCTGTCTTTTCGCTTATTAACACCGAATATCGTATTTACACTCAATCTTGATGCATTGTAGCTGTAATCGATTGTTTTTCGATGTAAATTTCAGGCAGCTGTAGCGATAACTGTGAGCAAATTATTTGTTGTTTTTATACACTATTCATTTCAATATAGATGGCCATTTTATTTTATGTGGTAATATAAACTAATGTACACTGACCCAATTCAGCTATCATTTCACGGTCAGTTAACCAATCATCATCAATATAGGATCTGGTACGGGTGTGTGGTAACCTGGGTCGACACACGTTACGTCGTCACAGTCAGAACAAATTCAAATAGATGATAATTATAGGGTGGGAAATAATATCGAAAGTCATCTATGTTGTCATTTCATAAACTATCTACACGCGAATGGGAGCCGATGAGTTCAAAACGTGTTCAAGCCTATCCTATGTTTCATGATAGTAACACATACTGACTTCGTCACTATGCCTGAACATATGCTGCCGCTTTCCGACTTCCATAAGTAAACCCTCCATATTCACTGAGCTGATTTGACTTACAGACATCCACTTTCCCTCTCACTTTTGTGAAAGACCTCTTTCAAGAGTCTGTAAACCTGTGGTCGTATAAAAATATCTCAAGACAAAACAGACCTTCCCAACCCTCAGTCGTGCCAGATCACTAAAATATTGTACTTATGGTTTCGCATGTTAATAAGTTCTTTACGTAAACATCGTGAATTACCAGTGTCCCCAGTTTTGTAGATGGTCAAAACATTCAGGATGAGAGAACTTCTAAGTCATTGTAGTTCATCAGTTCCCTTCTAAAGAGGGATTCCTTAATATTATTATCTATCGTTGTGTATGTTGGTAGATTTAATAGTTTCTTCGTATCCTTCAAATATTCCAGATTGAAGTGAGGTGACAAGTAGTTAAGTGGTAGTAAAACCGTTTTTTTATGCGATACACAGTCAATCGTCGATAGCTTGTTTTTAAATTTAATATATGACATATTTGACTACAAAAGTCGCTTCTTTTTAAATTTATTGTTTTATACTGTATTTCCCCATTAGTCATGTTTATTTTCAAGAAAATGATCTCTATTTGACCTTTTGGGGCTTAATCAGTCTGCCAATTGATTTTAGGAAGGGCCACCACTTGGACCGATTTTCCGAGGATGTCAGGTTGCATGCATTGGATTTACATTCACGAACAACTCACCACTGAATGAATTAGGTCCTACACATTATAGGATGACATCAAAAGATAAATTGGAATGTCCTGAGGAAATTTCTAAACCTGAAAGTTCTGATGATAGTGAAATATTAAACCCCTCAAATGCATCGAAGCTCAGTAGTGGGATACGTGAACCAGCTCTGATTGAACTTATTGAAGCTTTGAAGACAAAATGCGAAAACTATGAAGTAAGTGTACACGTAATTTCATCTCATGATACTATGTATGTTTCGCTCCTTTGCATGCAAAACATGTTGCATATAATGACACTTATATTGGATTTATTTTCAAATGTCTGCATATCACAACGGTAATGCCGAAAATTGCTAATCAGTATACATCTTTTGGTTTATAAATTTCATGTAGATAAACGCGTATACTATATTGAAATTCAGTATCTAAATTAGTGTCGTCGCAAATATTACTTTGATACTATTTTATGTTGTAAATATATTAATTACTAAGAATTTTGAAGGGTATTTCGTTCAACGTAGCTATATAAAAATAACCAGTTGTTCACCTTACAGTTTTTTCAAACATTTTCAGATGTGATATTTTGTAGCACAAATATTTCCGGATTTTATCGTCGTATGTGTTAAAAAAACTAATACTGACAGAACTAAACTGCTTTGTGTAGACTACCATGCTGAGATTACATTTGTTCAGAAGGGCGGTATAATAGGAGCTTATTTCCTCAGAACATGTACATTTTGAGTTTCGACTATTTTTATTTTATCAAACTACTAATATTTACAACCTTCAAACATGTCAAATGCTTGTGATTTTTTAATTTTGCCTAAAATAAGTATACAAGTCACAAAAAGTTTCTAAACTCTCTGAATAGGCGATGCCTGACTCAGTCAGTCACAACGTAGAATTTCGTACATACGTACATTAGTTCGAGTGGCCATACCACGTGACTGACTATTATTTTTAATTAATTAGTAGAGACATTACGAGTAAAATTTCTGGTCTTTGATAGTATTTTCCCGCTTTTTATGTTCTAAATATTTGTGAAAAAAGTATTCAGTCTCAAATGTATATTACCATCTACCTGTATATTATATCGATTCACTTATCTAACCATATTAGAAAATACTTACCTTCTTTTCACTTGAAAAATCACTTTCTATAGTTACTTACTGTATGAGTAATCGTTATAACTTGCTGTTATTTGACAGCTTAGCTAATCTTTTATATTTAAGATGATAATAGACTTCTTATCTCCGTACTGTGTATAATGCTGACAACAATTATCTTAGCTTGTGGTATTCAAGCGAACCAATAACTCTATACTTCCTATATATCCACACGTGTCTTAATTCAATTAAAACAAAAGTAACGATCAGTTTGTGAAGCTGTGATCGGGAAAACTGGTCATTTTATTACTGATCTCCGTTTTAAAACACTAGACGTTTATACGTACAATGGCACTGATCAGTCAAATCTTGATCGTCATATTAAATGAAAGAATAAATTTTCATGTGATAAAAATCCAGAAATAAGTTTAATTATTATAGCAGTCAGGATACCACGTTTCGTAATTATTCAGCACCCTATCGGATATAATTTGTTATCCCGAAAACACAAGTCTATATAGACCAAGTTTTTAGGTTTTTTTCGTGGAATAAAATTATATCGATATCCTCTGCGACTTAAACGATGTATTGATCCAAATGATCACACAGGGGGAGGGTCTTTTAATAGTGTTTAATTCTTAGGACCGTACATTATTGATATTATTACTTTAGGCTCTTGGTTTTACGAAGTGAAGTTGTCGGTTGCATTGATTACCACATTTTTCTTTGGGATCTCCTTATCCTTGATGGTTTACTGGCTATTGCAATCACTAGTATAAATGGACCGTTTGGTTATTTCCAGACAAAGTTGACCCTGTATTACTTTACAGATTCAAACATGGTCATTGGGTTCAGAAGTTATGTTCGGTTGTTAGTATTTGACACCAACTAATGTGGTTGGAATATACATTACGTACACTGTTACTACATACTCTTGAGTTTTATGCTGGCCAGCACAAGTCAACAGTACAAATGTCACCCGCGTTAGGATCTATGGGGAAGCTCTTGTCTATGGTTTTAGACTTTATTTCATGAATTCAATTCGACACCAGTTACCCGGTTACATCCTTTAGTTTCCTTACGGATCGTAAACACCGTGTCATCGATTCCTACTTTTCTTTCTATTCTTACTTGTTTACTTCAACTTTTCTGTCGTATTTTTCTTAAAATTGATGCTATATAATACATGCCTGTTTTCCAGATGCAAATAACGGAATTAAAAGACACATTGTCGTGTTATCGGGAATCCAAAGGTGATCAAGTATCTGTAAAACCAGAGTTGGATCCCATAACAATTGATTTGGGAAAGCAAGATGTATCATCCGGTGACACTTCGACTGTTAATACCATAACACGACAAGTTGAAATTTTGTCTCAAAAACTTAAAGAATCCGAAGCCCAGAATCAACTGATTTCAGCTACTGTAGATCTACTTAAAAATGAGTAAGACGTTTGATGTGTAGTTCTACTCTTGTTCAACTATTTATTTATTTTTATTTATTTAATCACATATATATTGGTACACAAAATAATGAGAATGGGAGGAGAAGGAAGAAGATGTGTATATATAAAGGAAGGAAGAGAAGAAAAGGAGAAGAGTAATGATGGGGGGAACTGAAATGTACAACCAGAAAAACTCTCTCAGTTAGGAAAGTTATAGCCACTCTTTATGAAGAAAGTAAAAGAAGTTTATAGCAGGATCGCCACTGGCTTCTATTCTGAGCCATATCTGATAACGTCTCTAGCCACTGTGTTGCACCATCTCTCGGACCCCAGCCAGGGAGTCGTGAAGGACCAACAGAAGCTAGCCCTTTGCAGCTTCCTTTCATGCCACGACACCATGTCATACACTGACCTCCTCTCCGCTTTTTCCAACCAGTCCCAGAGTTGGCAAATAATGCACGACGTGGAAGTCTCTGGGACGACATTCGTAGAACATGTCCAAGCCACCGAAGTCGGTGTTTCAAGATGGTGACACCAATTGAATTATCGTCTCTGCGCCCGAACACACGATGCCGGACCTCTGCATTACTAACATGGTGTTGCCACTGGATGTCAGCAATCCTTCGGAGACAACGATGATCGAACACAGAGAGACGTCTAACATCCTCAACTCGGAGAGGCCAGGTTTCACAAGCATAGAGCAAAACTGCTCTCACCGACGCGTTGTAGATCCGACCTTTTACAGCCAGACTAACATCACGAAGGCACCAAAGATGGCCCAGATTGGCATAAGCCGCTCTGGCTTTCATTATACGTGCATCAATCTCATCACTCATGCCCCCACCAGCACTTATGTAGCTACCTAGATACATGAACCTCTCAACTACTTCAGACTGCTCACCATCCAGGGTGAGTACAGGATGAGAATCCTGCCAGTCTTGTGGGTGTACCTTGCACTTGGAGGGTGCAAAGCACATACCGTACCTGCGGACACTGATTGCCAACTGATTAAGTGCGGATTGCATGCCTTGGGCATTATCACACGGTAAGACAATATCATCCGCATACTCAAGGTCGAGAAGTCGTTCTCCAGGCAGTAGATCCACACCGCCATTACACACATCCATCAAAGCTGTTTCCAGGATGTCGTCGATGGCAAAGTTGAAGAGGAATGGTGAGATCGGGCAACCCTGCCTAACCCCACTGCTCGAATGGAACAAGGGAGAAAGGTGGTTGTATGCCCTCACTCTGCCTGAGGTGTTCGTATACAGGGCCTTTAAGATGTTAATGAACTTCTCAGGCACACCCTTCTTCAATAGACAATCCCAGAGAACAGTCCTGTCCAACGAATTGAAGGCAGCCCTGATATCAAGAAACACTACGATTGTTGGCCTGCGATAAGTATGACGGTGTTCTAACATTTGGCGGAGGGTGAAGATGTGATCAATGCATCCTCGACCAGAACGAAAACCAGCCTGCTCCTCGCGAGTTAATCTTTCTCGGGTTTTAAACAACCTACGAAGAATGATAGAAGCCAATAGTTTGGACGCAATCGGAAGTAGACTTATCCCCCGATAGTTATTGTAGGAACAACGTGAACCCTTTTTAAAGATAGGGACGACTATTGACTCATTCCATGATGTTGGAACACTTTCTTGCTCCCAAACCTTTCCAAACAACACAGTCAATTCCTTAGTCAGAAAGTCACCACCATCTTTAAAAAGAGCCGGAGGTAAGTCATCTGGGCCAGGTGATTTGTAACGTTTCAAGAGTTGGAGTTCCTTGCGGACTTCCGCCTCGTTTGGTGGATCAGTCGTCCCTGGCCATGAGGGGCAGGACAAACTGGTCGATGTTGCCGGAGCAGCAGGCCAGTTGAACTGCCCTTCGAAGAATTCCGCCCATCGTCTAAGACGTCGACAGATTTTAGTGATTGGCATCCCATCATCCTCACAGATTGTTTCACTCACACCAGACTTCTTGCTGCCAGTGGCTCGGATGAGTTGGAAGAGCTTCCGGCAGTTACCAGATGCAGCTGCTGTCTCCATCTCATTAGCACGCTCCGACCACCAGGCTTCTCGGTCCTTACGCAAGCTTTGCCCGATTTCATTACGTAACAGCCTTCGTTTGTGGTCGAACTCACTGTCACTCGGAGTAGACCGACGGGCTTCGATCAGTTGTAAGGAGCCAGAAGAAACGTTTCGCGAAGCCGCAAGCGGCTTTACTCACCATTTTCATGGCGTCGTGAAGATGCAACCAATGCTCATCTATACTTTTCGGTGGGATGGTAGCTAGCCTAGAAGCTAGCTCCGCTCGATACTTACTTGCAAAAGAAGTTGCAGCCAGTTTACTAATATCGATCCGTTGATGGCGGTCAATTCTTCGGCTACTGAAAAGTAAGGTGAGATTGGCGCAGACCAGGGCATGATCAGACTCCAGATAGGTACTCTAAAAGGAGCGGCAGTCTTGTACACAACCACGCCGGCGGTAGCTGATCGCTATGTGATCAATCTGAGACCAGGCTTGAGATGCAGAGGGAGGACGCCAGCTGGTACACCGGCGATGACTGTGCCGGAAGATTGTGCTGGCCAGAAACAGGTTGTGGTATGTGCATAGTTGCAGCAAACGGTTCCCGTTATCTGTCCTGCGATCAACAAGTCCCTATCGGCCACCTTAACGACTCTCTTCTGTGCCTAGATGCCCGACCTGAGCATTCAAGTCTCCGGCTAATACTACAATATCTGTCGAACGCGCTTTCTGGAGAAGAACTGTTAACTGATGGTAAAACTCATCCTTGATTGCATCCGGGCTGCAATCTGTCGGGGCATATGCGGAGATGACGAAAAGACACCATTTCTTAAGCCGGTTTCTTCTCACTTTGATGAAACTTTCTAATCTAACAGCACATAACCGACTGTTAATGGGGATCCAATCGATTAGTGCTCCCTCAGCTCTAACGCTTAGTGCGGCACCAACGCCAGCAAGACCAGACGATGCCACAGGGTCCCCGGATAGGCGCACGTGAAACAAGCTTTTCGAGGCGACAGATGGAAAGCGAATTTGTAGTACTTCACTAGAGTCTTGAATACGGGTCTCGGATAGACAACAAACGTCAACATTAAGACCTTCCAAAGACAGCCAGCCCTATTGGTTGTCTGATCTGCATTAGTGTACGAACGTTGAAGGAAGCCAGCTTGAACGGCGTACGTGGTTTCAGAAAGACTGCCTCAGTATTCATAATCGGTGGAAGCATTCACTTTCAACCAGACAGTGACTGGAGATCGTTTAGATAGGACAGATTTTCCACCATGGGCGAGCTACTGCATAAGTTGAAAAGTAAGGTTACACAAATTGGGTATAAAAGGGGGTGAATTAGCGATATGGTAAATAATAATAATAACAATAATAATAATAATAATAGTAATAATTGATATGCTTGAACTAAATCGATTCCGCGGTAACGAACGAAAGCCAATGACACAATGACACGATAAGCTATTCTAATCTGTTGTCCCAGGCCCCGCTAACTAGATGAAGAAGTCCAAGGCAAGTAGGGGAATATATATGTATTCCGTAAGCAGCCGAGTACAAGCAATCAAATAAAGGAAAAAATCAAGCGCATTTATACAGCAACAAATTGTCCTTGAGCATCATTATTAAATGGCACACACAAAGAAACAATGGACCAATAGCGTTTAAGACAGTTTACAAGTGGGAAATATAACGTGAAGGTAAAAAAAGCGCGTTTTGGCGTGAAAACAGCTAAATTCAAATTTCCAAAATAAAATTACAAAACTAAGCCATTTACCAAGTAAGTTCTGGGGATTTGACATCCCATACTTTCCGTGTCTACCAACCCAGTTAAAGCGCCGGACGTTCGATTTTTTTCCTCTCAATTTCGTAAATAACACCCCTGTTGCGAGAAGGCAGTGAGTAGGACTTCTTTGGCAGTGGTTGTATGCACGTGACCATGTGAGAACATTTCGAGTGGGAGAGCTTACTTACTTCCTTGCTTCATAACTACGATCAATACTTATCAAGTGTTTCAGTATGGGCGTTTTTTGTGCGTTAGGAAGGTTGTTTTGGCTTGTATATTTCATGTAATTTGCCAAGTTTCATTTCACATTTTCCTTTCACTTGATCAGTTTTTCTTCTTAGCTGTTATGTAATAAAGGAAAATATTTCATCTGTAGTCGTCGTTTTCGCCTTCAGTTCAGAACCATTCATACATCAGACATAAGTGATACTTAGTTTTAACATAATTATACCTTTTACCGATTGTATTATCATCTTACGTTGACAATGTCATTATGTTTCTATAGTTAGCAAGTGATTTTATCCACAATTTTTTCTGTGGTTAATTGTCCACGCATTATGTTCCTGTGTAAAGTGACCTTTTGTGATTATCGAAATTTGTTTTTTAGTTTATCGCAAATGACTCCTACACGAATGGACAAGTTTTAGTGACAAATTTTCATCCCCTAGTTGTGATCAAATTTTGTGGGGCAAGTTTATCATATGGCCAATGCCTTTAAGTGACTGAACATCACTATACGCCGTATTTAATTTTGATTGGATGAAGGCAGTTGGCAAACAACCCTTCATTTCAACAAAACGAAACTTTATGTGATATCCTTTATGTCCCTAGATCAAATTCAGTTGTCTACGTTTCCTAAAGCTTGCTCAACTAGTTATGCGAAATAAGGATACTGACAGTGTCTGGAGTACAAAAGCTGTACAATAATGTACACAGTGTATGTATACAAGTTAGTTGACTGATGTAGACAGGAATATATGCTCAAAGTCACCTTGACTTGGCGAATAGCTGCCCAAAACGTGCGTCTTACCCAGTATGTAATCTTGTGATAGCATGTAACCTGTCTATACTTTTCAGCATACCTTTATCAAAGTGGTGATTCAAAAGGTGTTAGATTGGATATGGCTGTTCTATGTTTAGTTCAAATTGAGTCTTCACCTATTTATAGGCTTTCTTTTTCCTAATGGGCGTGATTTTATCATCAAAATACTGGTTCGAAAACATCATTGCCTACGTACTAAAGTTGCTAACAAAACCTAATGACATACTTACTTACTTACTTACGCCTGTTACTCCCAATGGAGCATAGGCCGCCGACCAGCATTCTCCAACCCACTCTGTCCTGGACCTTCTTTTCTAGTTCTATCCAATTGTTGTTCATTCTTCTCATATCTGTCTCTGTTTCTCGGCGTAATGTGTTCTTTGGTCTTCCTCTTCTCCTTTGACCTTCAGGATTCCATGTGAGGGCTTGTCTTGTGACACAATTGGGTGACTTCCTCAAAGTGTGCCCAATCCACTTCCAGCGCTTCTTCCTCCGCTGGAATCTGGTTTGTTCGTTCGCTTCTCGGCTCTCTGAGCTAAGATCATGTGTAGTTAATGACATACATTCGCTATATTTTTTTCTTATATAAATGAACTCAATGTATTTGCCACCGGTTTTAGACTCTCAGAACAACATGAGATACGAGAAAAACTACAGTCTGAAGTACAGGCATTCGAAGAAGAAAATGAAACACTATGTAAGCGTGCTGCAGATGCTCAGTTAGCTATCAGATTGTTGGAGTCAGAGCATAGTGAGGTAAGTATTTTCCATGTATATTTGTTTAGGTTACTCTGTAAAAGAAATTTTCAAATTTTTTTTTATCATCTTTGCTGTAATCTTCAACCATAAAATCAAACCAATTGTGCACGTTTATCTGATTATGGTTCTATCGACTCACCTTCATATAAGTTTTATTCATTGTAATAGGTATTTAGGTATTTATTTCTTATGGTTATAACATTTATGTTGAGACTGACTAAAGTTACCAATATTTTTCTACACTAACTTATTCCTAATACCTTGAACAATCATACCTACAAATCCCCAATCAGGTAACCACTTTTAAGTGTTGTGATTTTCGACTTTCATCATCAATGAAGCATTTATGTAGGTACATAAATTATAATCGTTACTTCTTAACCCGAATTTTCGGCCAAGTTTAATTTCGACAACTATCATAATTTTGGAATATGCGAATAGTACTAGTATGTCATCATTTCGCACGCGTTCAGTAAATTATAAAGTTACTCTTACTTTCGTAAGTAAGTAAAGTGAATATATGATTGAATGTCTTCAAAATTTTATTTTAAGAAAAGAATAATTCAATTGTGCATTTTTCTCACTGAAGAGTTACTTGCTGAAGTATGCTAACGATTTTCTCATACTTTCGTGAATAGCCCTTTTTTTCTTACCTGAGATTCTAGTACAATAGTTACATCTAACTGCATTTGTTATATCAAGAAAATTAATTAGTTAATCGTTATTCGTGTATCAGTGTACTGGTTCAAAAAATATACTCATAATAATATCTTTATTCTTTGGTTTTTAATATTTATACTAAATTTGAATTTTTCACGATATTGCGTTGACTATAAATGACGTAATCGCTTTTAATAACGCCAAGAAAAAGGAAATCAATCAAATTCGTGAAAAGTACCAAAATCTCGTAAATAATTTATCTTAACCGGAAAATAATTAGTTTTGAAATGATTTAATATCACATCATCCATCATCTCTAACTACTTGTTTATATTTTTGGTTCATTTACTGACTTGATTATAGTTTTTGAGTTTAATTTTTATATTACATGTACTTTTGTATATTTTAATTTATTAACCAATCAGTTGTTATCTGAGATAGCTCGATTACGTGGAGAATTGACTTCACATCGTGGGTATGATAATCGCACTGCATTAAATGATGTACATGATTTACTGCATAAAAATGAATCTAGAAGCTTAGAAAACGGCGTAAAAAATCACAATATCTCCATATCATCGTCTTCTTCGTCATCATCAACAAATCTAGTCAATGGAACACAACATTCACATATTAACAACCATTCATCAGATTCTGATCTACGAGAACGTTTGTATGAAAGTGAAACCAAGCTAAAACGAGTCATGGAAAACCTAATAGCAGTGAGACATGAAGCACAAAGTTTTAAATTAGGCTGGGAGTCAGAACAAAAAGAATGGATGAAAGAACGCGAGTTGTTAGAAGAGAAGATTAAGATATCCGTTGATCAAAAGGTAACTGATATTATTTCATTTGGTTTACATGGAAATATTTTCTCAATTCTTTTTTTCGAGTATACTGATAGGGTGTTGCTTCAGTTATTAAACAGTTTATAGTTTCGTGTAACAGCAAGTGTATTAACTCATTCAATCGGAGGGCCACTGGCAATATATGTTTGTTCATAATCTTCTTTTAGGAGAAAAGGCATTTGTAGTCACACTATGAAGTCAATAAAAATCAGGGGTTATCGAACCAAGAATTAGGAAAGTTGTGTATGTTATGCCTGTTATAGCCTGTACAAGAAATCATTAGTAGATCTGGTGGGGGTGAGCGAATAATGAGTACAGGCTATATTTGTACTACATATTCATCCAACATGCTGCCAGGTAGCTTTCAAGAAACTAGAAGTTCTATGTTAAGTACCATTGAAACACCTTAACCATGTCGGGATACGCCACCAAAGAATTGTTACAGAGATGCATATAGACCCGAGAGTATATTTGCACTTGGAAGATGTTTAAAAGATGCAATTCTTAAACGTTTTCAGTGGTCAAGGGAAATGCTAAAAATACCTAGACGAATTAGTGCTCGTTTAGAAATGCCAAGAGAAACCTACTGATTATTCCTTTCTCATCCTGATTGTACAATCAACCAAGTTTGTTGCAAATTGTAACAGGTTTTCCGAAAGATTGCAGAATTTCAAGGTCACTCATACGTTCATAATTACCTTCATCCTCTGGACGTACTCTGGTCTTCATATTAAGCATTCTTCCGAACTTCTGGCCTTGTATTTCTATTTAGGTTTCGGGTTTGAAAGATTTATTGAGAATGGAAGTCTGTACTCATACTCTAAGCATTCAACAGTAAGACTCATTGATTTTCGTTCAGATGGTTCAGTACATTTGATTTTGAAATTCAATATTCGAGGACCGACTGCCCTCAAGTGCCCTGATACGGTCGAGAGTGGGGTGAGTCCGCTCTCCCTCTCGAAATGCTCTCACATGGCCGCGCGTATATAGCCTCTGCCAGGGAAGTCCTACTCACTGCCTTCTCGTGGCGACGGTGTTGTTTACGAAATTGAGAGGCCGAAAAGCGAATGTCTGGCTCTTCAACCGGGTTGGTAAATATGGAGGATCCACCTAGGGGAGTTGGAAAACCCTGACTCCAAACCAATGGTGTACATGGGCTCCCGTATCCTGAAGGAACAAATGGCGAATGAACCAGTTATTGGTCACCGGCTACCATATGACTGAATCTCCTTACGATGCTCCACTGCCTTGTGGATCAGATCTTTAGGTCAAAGGCTCGGGGTGTGGCCCCCTAAGAAAGCCACCTGCATCGGTTTGGGAAACCGAGCAGTATCATAACCCACACATAAATCAAATGACTTGTGTCGCGCATATTTATTCGGTTCCCCTTTTGTACTAGTTTTTGTGTGTCCAAATAATTAAACAAAAACTGACTTGGACGAACGTATATTTCACGTGAACTTCAATTGTAATCGCCGCCAAAATTGAAATAAATAAGATGTAAAAAATAACATCAGTCACTTTCATTTATTAAACAGTGGTCGCAGATACTTGGTTGATGGAGATTTCAATGAATTCCTTTTTAATTCTCTCAGGTCATAACTTTATAGTAAATTTCTTAAGAATAAAAATGGTAATTAGCAAACTGAGCTCTTTCCCATAATTTGTCATTAGGTCAGTATCATGAAAAGATTAATTGGAGATTAATTTCACCTGGTTTGTAAACCAGAGGTGAAACATTAAGGTGTTATATGAGCAGGTAAATTCACTCGATATAGAATACAGTAGGTACTTATTGGTGCAAACATGCGGCCTTTAACAATTGAGGTGCAGGTTTGAATATCATTTTAATTCAGTTTGGGTTGTTCTTATCAATTGCACTTATCAATTGGACTATGAGTTATAGTCGGTTACACAATATTTACTTGGTCGGTAAGTTGCATCAATCAGTTGTATGAAATAGATTATGAAGTAAACAAGTTTAAGTCGTGATAGTAAACGTAATTTTGGATAAGTGAAAATCTTTATTCTAGAGAAAGAAAAAATCTGTACTTAGTTAATAAAGAATTTCATTAATGTATTAGAAAGTAGAAATCATTTTAAAAATGCGAGCAGGTTTTTCTATTACATGTCGTATATTCTTGTCATAAAGGTTTAACAACATGAAATATTGTTTTTTTTTTAATAATCCTTTTTTCTGATTTCACAAGACTGTCGCGTTAGAAAATGAGTTGACCAAACTTAAAGAGAATAACGCTGAACTTGAAAATAATATAGGTAATTGGGAACGCCATCTATTCGAGTTAAATCAGTGGGTTGATGATGAACGTGAAGCGAAAGAAAAACTGCATGTAAGTGTTGTGTTGACTTTAACCCTGAAGTTATATTTACTGTTGTAATGTTTTAAGTTATCACTTTTTTACTATAACTTCCTAACGTAAGCTCAGTATTTGTTAAATTATGTTCAGTACCCTGTTAAAAGTGTCTTACGAAAATGCCTGTTTTCCTTTTTTGTAGTTTTCACACTAAACCCCTACCCTTTATACTGTAATCACTGAGGCGATTATGATCTTTCTTCGACGACGTTTCTTGTTGTTACCTTTTGTTTGTGTGTCGTTTGCTTCTCCTTACATTATGTAACTGAAGCATATGAATATGCATTCATTAGTCTGTAACAGTATATTACTTTGCTTATCCTATTTCTTAACGAATCCTTTTGTATGTTTTAAAGTAAAATGATTGTCATTACCCTACAATACTAGTGATACTATCAGTTGAAGTTATGGAAATTCACTTGGTTCAAATCAAACTGATGCTTCTAGATGATAACTAACCATTACATCATTTTTGATGACATGTATCATTGCATGCTACACCTGTAACTTTCATCTTAGGCTACTACTTTTATAGTAGGTGACAGTTTATTAGTACTAAATATTTCTAATTTTTATTCATATAAAGAGTATTGTTTATTGGATGTATTCACTTAACGTTTTTACCTGCATAGAATTTCACAATGCGTTTAGTGTCTGAATTGGATACACTTCGTGCTTCAGGTTTGGTACAAGATTATAATCAGAATGGTGTATGTCCTAATGGTTATCAATCATCATGGCGTGCAAACGATGTGAATTCCTTAGCCTATGATAGTCCTGCACAAAGTGTTATTGTTGATAGTACATTGGACTGGCGTCAACGTAAATCTACTAAGTTAAATAAAATGGAAAGATGGAGTCATGAGGTAGCTTTAAACAATGAGGTAAAAGCAAGGGAACAAGCAGAACTCCGTTTGCAAGAAGTTGAGGCTCGTTTGAAAGAGATGTATGAGTAAGTGATGCACTTTAGTTTCTTTTCAATTTAACGTGATCGTTTTATATGCCGAAGACATTCCGTTTTATTTTAATTAAATGGAGTTTCATGATTTATTTTAGAATCTTACCGTTAGTATCGACTTCGTTTTACGTCATTTCAGTGAATATCCACATATTAATACTTTTGATTTAATGTTTAATTGGATTCATAACCTCATTATAAAATGATTTATTTAGGCTAAACGAAAATGATGAGTAAACGCAAACATGTTTCGTATTCAAAATCGGTTTTACTTTATTTACTTTATTGATACTCTAGTAGCATATTATTATATTCCTCTTCTTTATTCCTGGTCTTTGTTGCAGCATTAAGTAGGTATGGTAATTTTAACATGACAAATTACTGTATCGCTGTTCCTTTTCTTATTTTTTGGCATCCTGTCAATCAGCAAATATGAATACTTGTTTTATAAATTACTCATCGATTTTACAAACTCTAATTCATTTATTAAATGTCAATATATAACCCGTATTTCTTTCTTATCATGTAACATTTCAATACTTCAACTACCGAAGAATAAGCACCTTGTCTTAGTGTATATGTATTGATGATTTTAGGCTTTCCTTTTTTACAAATCTACATTCGACTATTTTTACTATTACTGTTTGTTTTACTCTTTGAACATGTTTCTGTTTACATGTGACAAATATCCATTTTGATAAGGTAATAGGTAATAGTTGGCTTGTGCTATTTAACACATGTTTTGTATGATTACTTGGTTAATGTTGTATATATATATATATATATATATATATATATATATATATATATATATATATATATATATATATATAATTGTGTGTACATCTGTTCTTATTTAAGCTTATGCAAATACAGCTTATTGATAAAAAGAATCATATGTACATTGATTATTATAGAAGTTCTTATTTATATTATGTTTTGCTTATTTCATACTGCAGTTACTTTCGTGTTGTACTACTACTTAATGTCTCGCTTAATTTAAATAAAGTGAATAGATTTTTGTAACTATTCTATCATCCCATTAGTAGACTTGTGTGTTGTATATAGTTGGTTAGTGTGTGTGTGTGTAGTTTAGATTGTTGGAATATCATCACTATCGTTTGCTCGTATATATCAAATAGATGTTTTTGGTCTTGTTCCTTTGTCATCATGCAGGTGCATAATTGCTACACTTTGCTAAGTTTCTTTTTTACAATCGAGTAATCATCATTTTTGTCGACCGATTCATGTCCTCTGTCTTAGTTTTTCCATCATTTAGACACTACTGTAATAGTTATGATATTATATTTCCAATCCTCGTTTCTTTCTTATTCTTGTCAGTGACTTCAGTTATGTAATTTGCTGTTTGTGTCCGTTCATTCTGCTTTTTCATATTTGTAAATTCGTTATCAGTTTTTTATATGTTGAACTTCTTGTTTGTCTAAGAAAGATTTTGTTCTCTGTACCAAAAAACAATTCAATATTTCGTGTTTATTTATGTTCTAAAATGTTTTTTATCTCAAGTATTGTTTTGAGCTTGAACGAATTTCTTCTGTTAGTGAACGTAAATTACTTGTATGATGGTCGATTCAGAAGATATTTAACGAATGGGGGTTTCTGTGTGTGAGAAACCAAATAAAAAAGATATTACACATTTTGGACGTCTACATTCTGTTTTAGTAATTTCATGTTCTTAATGGTGAATATATTGTGAATTTAAAGGCCGGCTTTTTATTGCGTCATTTATTCACTAGTCGCATACGACTTATCCAATCTCGTACTGTACCAAACCAATGACGTTCGACCGATAAGAGCAGCTTAGCGTCCTTATTGGTCTTCTGTCTACCTAGCCCTTCCAGTTCAGTACAGAACACCAATAACAGCTTCTGCTACGTGAGTCATTTATTTCAAGCATACTTGGTTTACATACCAGACAATCCAGACCACATCACACCATAAAGTAGGAAATAACATTTGTACAAGGTCAAGCCAAAATGTGGCTGTGAACGTGGGAGGCTGTAATCAATAAACTGAGTATAATTTAAGAATAGTAATTTATATCATAATAGTCTATAGATCAAAATGAAGCCTCTAATAAGATGAATGTAGGTATGCACATTCTAATTACTGAATAGTTATACGATAAGAATATATATAGAATATTAGTCCATTAAGAGGTCCCAAAAGTTACCCGTACTTTAATCTTGACTAGGATATAACAGAATAATTTGTCGTCGTAGCTTATTTCCTTGTTATTCTAATCAATGTTATCTAAAACACGTAAATGATTATCCAGCTCAGATGACGCAAAATCGCAAATTTTTTTCCGAAATGCAAATCTAATGTTAAACTAATAAATATTTAACAAGTTGTTTACTAAAAATATATTTCCTTTCTTCCTTACTCAATTTCTGTTATTTTACATCCAAATAAATGCCTCATCACTTGGCAGTTGATTCGCTCTAAAAACACTTTTTCCAATGATATTAGCAACTGACATGTTATGGATATACAGTTTTAGTAACGACAAGACTATTGTGATTTCACGGTTTAATTGTCACCACACATCAATGGAATTTTAAGGCCTATATCAGCTAAAACTAACTATCCAGTGCAACATATAACAACGGACTAGTTTACTTCTACTTGTTATCCATATGATAATTCAGAGTACCGTCTACAGTTATTTTAAAATTAAAAAAAAACTGTCTGTAAGTACTATTCTTTATGAACTTCGTGTTTTTTTTAAAATCGATTTTGTCTAGTCAAATTAATCAAAAAGATTTGAAGATTAAGGAACAAGATCGTATCATCGAACATCTCAATTCTCAATTACTTGAAGGTGAGTTTTACACTAAATTACTCTTAATTATTTTAATTATATTCACACTTATTTTTTATATTCAATATTTATACTTATGTAATTATCCCTCTTTTGGTTATTTTTTTATATATATCTTTCATGTTCAATCTTAATGTTTTTAATTTAGAACTTGTTAAAAGAAACCATAAATTGTTTACCTAAGAATAGAGAGACACTGATTAAAAAGCTCATTTTTATATTGGTATAGCATTAAAAAATTGATTTAATTGTGTTTTTTTTTAGTAATTGTGAAAGAAATTAGACAATTTCTGTTGAAGTTAAACTTTATTCTAGTTTATTGACTGTCTATGTTGTGACTAAACGTGTTGGAACGAAATTAAATTACAAAACAAAACTTGATCGATGTAATTAGTGCAAGTGTTATTACTGTTTCTATTTGATGTATGAATGTAGTGAACAGAACACGACTGGGGGACAATCGAATGTATTTAAGCAAAAATTACAGACTATCTCAGTAAATTGTGATAACCAAACAATGAACAGTCAATTTGCAAATTAACAACCAATTGTTTCAATCTTCTCTGTTTCTTCTCTAATTTCATTGCTCATGCATTTTCCAAACGATTGCGCTTCATTTCAGCTCTTTGCTCATCGGTCTTCTGCCAAAATACATTCTGTCTGACCCACACCATATACTACTTATATGGATATAAGTAGACCACACCACATGAAGATTGCATTAAGTGTAATGAGTCAAATTATTCAAAACCACTCAATTAGTGGTTTTCTATTTGTTATACTGAAAAAATTATGTATTTCATATATTCTATACTCAAGTTGATTTATTTTCAGGACAAATATCTAGTTTCCCTATGCTTTTAGTGATTAGACTAATACTGATTTTATCCAATGTTTAGGTTTTTTTAATTAATTTATCCACTTACAGTCATTTGGACAATAATTTGTTTTTTGGAGGTCCCAACATTCAATAATATTTTCATGTGGGTAGAATCTTATTCCAGGTTACAAAAACCTAGAATCTGTATAGTTTTGCTGGCTAGAGAAAAACCACTTGTAACCTCGCGCTTATACCTTGACACGATTATTGAATGTTGATTATTTCTTATCGTATTATAAAAAGTTAGTATTTCAACATACCATTACCTAGAATATAAGAAAATCCGTCCAGTGTTTCCAGGTTTTCCATGGTGGTCTAGCTTCAATTGACTCACGCTTTCAACAATGATAAATACTAAATCTCCACAAAACCCCTTCTATAATTAATATAATCATATGCTCACTAGTGACTTTGAGAAGTATATCTAGGAGCTCTAGTGAGAAGCAGTGACCAGTGGAGTTCAAAACCATGTCTGTTGTGAGATAGGAACTCACTGAAGACAATTGGTGAATGGTTGCTCAACTTCGTGGATCAGTTGAAGTTAGACATTAACACCGTTGAATGCCAGCTCAGTGGTCTATCGGTTAAGGGCTTCGGCTCGAGACTGGTAGGTCCTGGGTTCGAATCCCGCTCGCGAGAGCAGGTTCGTGGATGCGCACTGCTGAGGAGTTCCATAATAGGACGAAACGGCTGTCCAGTGTTTCCAGGTTTTCGATGGTGGTCTAGCTTCAATTGACTCACGCTTTCAACAATGATAAATACTAAATCTCCACAAAACCCCTTCTATAATTAATATACATAATTGTAGCAGATTTCGCTTTGTAATAACATTCACTGCAGATTTCCTAAAATATTGATAACTAAGTAACTGATGAATTTTTTTATAATTCTACTTAATTCCTGTTTTTTCGTAACGTAATGTTTGTTTAATCATTTATATGTGATTTAAGTAAAAGTTTTCCGATGTAAATAATCATTTTGATTTTTACATAAATTCTTTCTACACAATTTCAGCCTCCAACCAGGCACGTTTATGTCGTATGAATAATGACGTAAGTTTAGCAATATACTATGATAATAATATGCTCGATATACAGTGCCTTCATTTCACAGGTAGTCTTTTATTTATAACGAAGATTTTGTGCAATAAGTTGACAAAAGAATGCTTCATACATAGTGAAATGACAATGTTGTAATGATTTCCAATGATTACAGGTTATATAATTGGAAAATCCTCTTGATTGTTTTGATCAATACTTCAATCAAAAAAAAATTAATTTCATGTCGTTTTTTCTCATCAATTTGGTAAAGCTGTTCATATTAATTGCTTTACTTTTGTTAGTCATTGTGATATTACGAAGTATATAGGGATTTGAAAATTTGCTTCCATCCTTTTTTGGTTGTTTGTTTGAATCTTCCCCTTGATGTCTAAGACTGCGATTCATCAGTCTCTTATTAGCATATTTGCATCTTAGGTGCAATACTTCGATATTGCCTGAAGTCACAAGCATAATCAGAGATGGATGGTAGCCTTCAATGGGATCTAGAACGGACATTTCGTCCTATTTGGGACTCGTCAGCTAGATGTACCTACATCCCGAAGTTAATGTTCACTCCAGGTGGTAGCTTACATCCATCTCTGCCTATAATGTTTGTGACTCAAGGCAATGTCGAGGCAGTCTACACTGAGTGCACATATACTAATAAGAGACTGGTCAATTGTAGTCCTAAACGTCAGTGGGTAGTTCCAAACAACCACTACTAAAAGAATTAAACTTCACTCCACTGAGAAAGCTAGCGGCTTTCCTGACCTAGTAGCTATGTGGATATCACAATGGCATTTGAAATGACCGTTACATGGTTAGAGGCATATCCAGTTAGTGAGTCCAAAATAGAACTAAATGCGCGTCCTGGATTCCACTACTAATCGCTATCCATTTCTACTTATAATTACTTCCATTCTGTTCTACTTTTAACAATATAATGAACCTGTATAATACCCGTATTTCGTCTGTTTTATGTATATATGTGCACAGTTTTAAGGATAAAATTTTCCAAACAAAATTAAGCTTTATTCTGTGTAATTCAGTAAAAAGCATCAAAATGTGCTATTTTGTACTTGTAAGATTTAAGGGTACACAGATGAAAGCCTATGTTATTGTTTAGATGTATTCCTTATTTTTGTCGTGTTGGTAAACGTCTGTTTATGTTTACATCCTTTGCAGCTGATTTTCCTTCATTTCTTACTTCTAGTTGAACCTTAGTGTCATTATACACTTTTAAAATAGTATCATCAGGTTTGTTGTTATCATCATATGGTTTCAACCAGTGGGTCGTATATTCCAGCCCTGCTTTATCTTATTTTGGTTTGGGACACTTATTAGTATCACTGAACCTCACAATTTGCGAAAATCTGTACTTAGTAAATCAGTTCTTATAAATATATATTTTGAAGATAATAGTCGCAAAATGAATACCAGTTTACATACATGATCAGCTTTATCTAATAAGGAATGTAGTATCTAACTGCAAAAAGTATAACAGTACAGAACTTAAAGAGACGTTTGTCATAAATTGATTCGATCGAACATTTATCACAAAAAAATTTATAATATAAAGCAGCAGTTTGAACTAATATTTTTATTGTGAGGACTGAAACGTCATTTTTAATAATGAAGTGTGGTGAAGAGAAATTCTAGCAAGATCGTCTGCAACTAGGGAAAAGTAAACGAAAATAGAGATTTTATATAGTTAAGATCATGAGTCATTTGAAGCTAGACCACTGTGGAAAACCTGGAAGCACTGAACGGCCGTTTCGTCCTATTGTGGGATTCTTTCAATTGACTCGTGATCTTAACTATATAAAATTACTAAAATCTCCACAAAAAACCTTGTGAAAACGGAAATCACGGAACATTGACACCAAAAATTGCTGTCATAAGACTGTCGTAATATATACCCTTGGTTGTTTTGTGACATGTTGGTTGATATACAGATTTTATTTAATCTAATCAACTGTTCTGTAGACAACAGAGTGAATACTACAATGAGTGTAAGTTTTCAGAATAACTAGAAATAACGTAATTGTAATATGTCCATCTGAATGAAAGTTTAACAAGTAAACTCAATAATAAAAGTGATTAACCATTTAAAGTCTGTATAATTTCAACAGTAAAATGCGATACAATCACTGTTGTAAATCATTTTTACATTAGTACTGAAGAATAACTAATTGTCTATGTGAAATTTAAACTATGATAGTTATTTTGATTATCAGATAGATTAAAGAATTATCTTTGAGTTTTATAGTTAACATCGCTAATTGATTAACAAACCCCCTATATATATCAAGCATAATCATCCGAAGAATAATTCTGAAGTCGTGATGTGAAGTCACCATCAGTGGAATTTAAACATTTCAAGTGTGAGGCAGTTACCCACCAAGTACATTGGCAGATGATTGGGTGATATTAACAATTTTCTGAAGTTAAACATTTAAATAATTGTATAGTGACTTATAGCTGTCAACTTAAAACGCTCGCTGTGTGACCTGTAGGTCTTGAGTTCGATTTCTGTTGACGGGGTTATGGATGAGTACTGTTACTCCGAATGGATCATAGGCCACCGACCAGCATTTTCCAACCCACTAGGATGGGACAATTGTCCAGTATTTCCTGACTCTCTAATGATTGTTGAACTGAGTCAGTTTGTCGGGCTAACTATAAATAACTGATATAGGTTGTAACTGGAATCGAATGTTCATTGTATTTGCTCCTTCCTGCACATATGCACGTATATTTGTTACTGCTTAATGTCATAAATGTTTAAATAGTGAGTCGAAATTTTAAAATCAGCAATTTATCACCTAGTTTAGGAATTTGTATCGAATTATTATTTTTTTAGTGTCCTTTTAATATCATATTTCAAAATTAATGTTACCGTGATTCTATGAAATAAAAGAACCTTGAAGCTGGACTGTGTGATGTGACATGATACTATGGAGTAACTAAATTTGGATTTCATAGATTCTAAGTAGTCAATGCTGATCAAACCTGTTATTACTAGCAGCGTATCACATTGTAGCTGACCTCAAGTTACTTGATCGATTTCATTTGTACCGAATTGTTTGTTCACACAATAATTATAAATAAAATAATTTGTTTATAATATCCTGATGGGCAAAAAATTAAGTTTTTTGACGTTTCGTGACTCAGTGTAAACCATTTCTTCAGAGAACAAATAACCAAATCAAAATTGATCCAAGTTTAAATAGTATATTCTTGCGTTGTTCTTTTGTACTATTTAAACTTCGATCAATTTTGAATTGATTATTTGTTCTCTGAAGAAATGGTTTACACTGAGTCACGAAACGTCAGAAAATTTGATTTTTATACTCATTGGGATATTACAAATAAATTGATTTATAACAATCTACCCAATGCTCAGTTTTTTCGAAACTATCAAATCAAACCTTGATAATAATACCTATACAATAATTATGTTTAGTATGTTTTAAACTAAAAACGTTAATGATATTGAAGACTTCTTTATCATATGTGAATACTTATAACTCTACATTTTATCTCCTACCGCAAACTAACAAAAATAACAAAATACTCATTGGGATATAACAAAAATAACAAGAATATTTTCTCTTTAGTAACTCTTACTTAATGGGCTTTACGCAAAAGCAATTTTACCATGCAATTAATACTGTCATCTTCATTTTGCTGAAGAATATAAATTCACAATGTTTTGTTTGAATTTCACGTTGATAGGTAATAGATTACACACATTCACATGTCTAAACAATTCTGTTAACACTGCTCACTATTCTTGGAATTAGGTCAAGGACATATTTTTACTCTCTTATCTCATCTAAACATCATTTTACCCATCTTAGTCTTGAATTCTTATTTTTTAAATTTTATTATGTATCCCGATGAAAGTGCATTTCGTTTTATCCGTACTACCTACTTACGGAATTACCATGTATATTGTATTTTATTTGTAAACATTCTTGTTGTTTTGACGGTATCAATATCTGTGCTAAATATTTCTTTCGTTTTCTCATTTTTTTCTTACTACTAGTCCGTCAACGATGCAGCCAGTTTTATGCCGGTTAGTTATTACTATTTTCAAATATGAGAATTATCTTTTCATAGCGTACTCTATTTGTCGTGTTTTCATGCTCTTAATCAATATTATTATTTTTTTATATGTGTATATTCCCTTATTTTTGTAATAATGTTTGATTTGCTATTCAGTTGACGTTACCAAGCGATCTGCTTTTGTCAAGCAATTACTGTACACAATTCTAAGTCAACTAACTTGGTATTTTGTACCAGGTTTTATGTTTTCTTTTACTGTTTACTATCGCTGTCAACAACTATCCGATAATCAGAGTAGCTAAACAAATTACTATATGACTGCATCCTTATTACAAAATATTAATATACAAGTATATGAGACAAAATATATCTGATTAGTGATTTACAAAGCATATAACTAATCATTCTATTTTAAGTATATATGGTAAGAATCAACGTTTTAGATAGTTTTTTAAACGTTCATAGAAATAAAGTAAGCATTCCAATTTCCATCTATTTGCTTTGGTTTGTAGTAAAATATTGATAACCATTTTGCTTTAAAAAATATTTCTTATTTTTGCAAGCTGGTCACATTTTCGTTTCAATGGCATTGTCCGGATTATTATTACGACTTGAAACAATCCAGTTTAACAATAAATTAGTTATAGGTTATTTCAGTTATTCAGTCAAATGAAACTCAGTAATTATATACTCCTGTTTAGGTTACTACCTGTTAACTCTCGAAAAATTACAGTTTCTTTCAAATTAATCGAATCATAAAACGATTAACTTGCTTAACCTCTTTATAATATTTAAGCTTATAATCGAGAAAGGCTTCACTTCCAAACTGTATTGTTCTAACCTTTGAGTATTCAACTACTTTTAATGTAATCTGTTCACTATATTCATAAGAAACATGGTCGTGTATAAATAGGAAGAAAGACTTATCAACGCTTTAATTTCTTTCCTTCAAAATTCAAGGTAGTGTGTTGAGACTAATTAGATTCCAGTTAATAAAAGCCTTTAATTGTACTGTGCAATTATATTCAATTATTTCTCAAGTCTCATACTTGTTTTGTTAGCAACCTAGAAATATTCAGCTGATGTTTATGCTTCTATTGCAGACAACTGAAAAAGTCATTTCCTATAGTTTATTTAGTAAACAAATTCAATAGTTTCATTTTGTTATGTTTTACTGAGTTAGCATTTCATCATACTCTACATCTATTGGTCACTTACACCAGACATCGTACACATGCTAATTTTAGCCATCACTACTTCCTTTAATCGAATGTAGATAAAAAACAATTAAACCTAGTAACACTGATGTATATGTGAAAATCATACTTCACCCTCACTTTTTCTCTCACATACAAGATATTTGCAGCTTAAAAGGCAAATATTTCGTCTTTTTTTGTCCACCAATAATCATTATTATAATCATTGTTTGTTTTGTGTTTTTTTTGGTAAAAAAAACTTGTTGAAATAACTCGTGCTGAGAATTCTATATTGTACCAGATTATAATATTGAATAAAGCCATTAATAATAATAATAATAATTCCCTTAATTATCTGAAAATAATATCCCTCGTTTATTTTACTTTAGATTTCTCCCCTCTATTTTAGCTGTCATTTATTCAATACTGTCATAGTTACTTTATTTTCTGGTTGACATACAATAATTGTGTATCCACCACAATTAAATATGATTTTGCTGGTTAAGAAATACTCTAATTAATATAAATATTTGTTAAATTTCGTTGTAAAATGAACCATTGTGACTTTTATCGTAAAGAATTCTTTTTTTACACCCTCTTTCTCTACTTTCATACCCCAACAAAAGTTCATTTACAATGTCTTTAGTTGTTTTTTATTTATTTTGTTTAAACACATAATTATTGGTACAAGGAATCACCAGATTCATATGCGCCACACAAATCTCATTTTATTTGTGTGAGGGCTGTGATACTGCCAGGGTGCCCAAACTGAAGCAGATGGTTTTCTTAGGGGGCCACACACGGAGCCTTTGACTTAAGATCTGATCCACAAGGCAGTGGAGCATCGTGAGGAGATTCAGTCACATGGTAGCCGGTGACCAGCGATTGGTTCACACGCCATTTGTTCCTTCAGGATATTGGAGCCCATGTGCACCATTGGTTTGGAATCAGGGTTTCCCAACTCCCTTAGGAGGACCCTCCGTGTCCACCGACCCGGTTAAAGCGCCGGACATTGGCTTTTCGGCCTCTCAATTTCATAAACAACACCGTCGCCACGAGAAGGCAGTGAGTAGGACTTCCCTGGCAGAGGCTGTATACGTGCGGCCATGTGAGAGCATTTCGAGAGGGAGAGCGGACTCTCCTCACTCTCGACCGTACCAGGGCATCTGGGGGCTTTAGTTGTTAGTTATTCTGAGTTCATACATATTTTATTTTGTGATTTTTTGTTTTGTTCTAACAAATGTTTGTTTCTTATCGTCTTACTAGTGTTACATATCGATTTCTAATGCTATTTTAAGGTCGGTTTTTATTTCCTATTCTAATTTACACTTTTATGTCATGTATTCAATTAAATGAAGTAATATTCTCACATTATTTACGACATTCATTGAATGGAATACGGTTGAACCTTAGCTCAGTTGATATAAGCACTTAGGGTTTTTATTTATTCATCAAAGATATTTCAGATTTAAATTTTTCCTCTGTGGACATAAACCCTGAGAGGCTGGTTGGTTTTTCTAGTAAGTTTCTTTGTTTATTTGTTGCTGTTCTAAAAGAATTAGAAGTATAGTGAACAAAAACACGGGTAGGGACAATTAAATGTATTTAAGCGCAAATTACAGATTATCTCACCAAAATCTGATAACCGTACAGTAAACAGTTCATTTGCAAAATAACAATCAATTGTCTCAATCTTGACTGTTCCTTCTGTAAATGTCAATCCATCTCTGATTTCATTGTTCATGCATTTTTATACCGACTACGTTCCGTTTCGGTTCTTTCCTTATCTATTTTCTGCCAAAATACGCTCTATGCCTGACCATCACCATATACTACTTGTGTGGATAAGTAACCTACACCACAGAAGAACCAGACACTATTTCATAAGTGGGTTCCAGAAATTAATTACTCGTTGGAGAAAACCTGTACTCTACACTTATGTATCATATTGTGTAACACATGTTTAAACTTACAAAACTGTAAATTTATTTGGATCGATGATGAGTAAATTGTTTTTCGTCTTTACAACTTGACGAAGTGTAAAATAATCTACCTTTTTCATATCTCTAAACTTCGTTTAGTGTAACAGGAATTCATCTTAAGTTGTGTTCTAGGCATGTAACCTATAACTAGCTACAAGATTGTTCTGAATAGAACTCACCTTGAAAGCATTCGTTTTCCAGATTATTTGTATATTGTTATTGAAATTTCTTTAGAAGTAATCTTTGGCTGATAGTTATCTTATTTTTTTTAGAAGGCAACTTCGGAAAAAAACGCAATGGATAACAGACGTTCTCTCCCTTCACTTGATATTAATAGCCCATATACATCGACACCAGGACAAAACTCATGGACTACTTTGGATGCTTCTGGAACGTCACAAACATCTACTTTAACACACAAATTTACTTTTGTTACGTTTTTGCAACCAACAAAATGTCACGTTTGTGGCAGTTTGATACTAGGTCAGAAGTGGCAAGGCGTTCAGTGTCAAGATTGTCAATTAAAGTGTCATCATCGGTGTCGCATGTCTGTACATATTGTTTGTACTGCGCCTAATTCGAATTGTATTGGTTAGTCTAAATTTTAAAATATAATTATTAAAATTTTTCCTGTGGTTCAGTATTTAAGCTTTCATTCTTATTTATTTAATGGAATTGGAAAGTTTCCTTTTTCACTTGTACCTAATAATGTGGGGAAATTTGTTTACATCCGTTTATGCTTACCTGGTTAAATTTTATGTCGTCAGACATATGTTATCACTCATTTTTGCGAACGAATCCCGAAACCAAATAAATGATTTTGTGAAGCTGCCAGCTCATTGGTCTAGAATTAAGGGATTTTCATATGAGACCAGTCTTTGGTTCGATTGGTGGTGACAGTGTTGGTGATAGGTACCTCAGGGGAATCCCTTGCTAGGATGAATCAATTGTCCAGTTTTGCCTGGCCTTCAATAGTTGAATTAAGGTTTGTTTATAATGTTGACTGTGAAATGAGTAAAATCCTCGTTAATTTTCTATAGTAATGGATAATGTAGATCTACAAGAATCAGTAAATTAGCCTAATATGAAGTTTGGAATTATACGAAAGCTCAGTATTCGTAGAAACATGAAGGATGAACACAATTGTGCCACTTACAGATTTCAGGTCTTAACTCCTAAAATCTACAATCAGTTGTATCGAATATCTTTTGGAATGAAATACTACTGATTTTCAGTCCCCAGTTATCTCAAATTCACTTTTCATAGATCATAAAATTGAACTTTTCAAGTTTATGATTGATTGGGATTTATTCGTCTGATTTTTGTTTTTTGGTTTATTTTAGATGGTTCACCCGGCTTTGGTGCTGATTTTGAAAGTGATGTAAAGGTGAATTTTGCAAATATTCGATAATTTCTGCATAGTTTCTGTGTTTTTGTATCATTCCACAAGCTGCTTAGTCTTTCACTTAGCTTAAATCAGTTGTGTTGATTACGACGATTCAGGTCAATATTTTTGAGGTTAATATTAACTACAAGTATAGTTTTAGGTACCGTTTGATGTAACATGTCGCCGAGTGGTTGATTCCACTCTGTAAATCAAATTACTTAACGCAAGCATGTAACCTCTCAGTCTTATAATATGTCTTGCCCAGTTAGTTTGTGAGCTTCTACTTGCTGAACTGGAATTCAGTATCAAGGTTTTTCTGTTCTATCCACCTTATTTCTCATTTGTTATGGGGATCAATAGGCTTACTTGTTCTAGCAGAGTCATTAATAGGAACATAAAATAGTTCACTGTTAAAATTTAACGTGTGTTTTCTTAAAGCCGAATTTATAAAATTGAAATTACAGCTGCTTTACAGCTTCTACTCTCATAATCAGTTTCATTTTCAGATGAAATAGGATGAGTTATAAGGTATATTCTACTCAGTTGATGAAATTCAGTCTCGTATCTCCAAAAGTTTTCTTCATTCATGTTATTTCCCATCTCAATATTTTGTGGAGATACTACTTGTGTTAACGTCAGTGATTTTCCCTGAAACTTTGGAAATTTTGCTGTTTCGTTTAATAATTTATCATAAATTTGCTAATCATACTATTCTTGAAAGCTTTATCTGACTACATGCTCGGTTTTGTTGTTACTTCTAAATGTCTAGATGCCCAAACTAGGTGGAATCAAACGTGGATGGATGAAATATCGTGTATTTTTATCAGATAAGCGCCTATTCTTTTATGATGTAAGTATTTATTTTTGAGAGTCTATATAAATAAACTGAATATGTGGTTCGTATCTTTTGTTTCAATCTCTGTTTGCCTTAGTATCGTTTACACAGAAAATTTGTCAAAAAAGCAAAACGAAATGGATTATTAGAGAGAAATTTATTTCCTGTTTTAAGTATATGGTCTATTCGTATTCCCTACATAATAGGCACATCGGTCAATTAAGTAATTCTAGCTCTTCCAGTGAATAACTTTGCCTCATATTCATATTTACTTTTGCCATTCTGTGATGTAATTAATTTTAGACTTGTACTAAATTTTCTTTAGTGTTATCTACAATAATCTGCAAATTACTTTATTTCTATTGATAGCATTATTTTTATTAGCTTAGGCATAGTTTTTCAGCGAACGCCAATGCCTGTAAATTCTTTATTGAAAAAAGGCACAACCCAGATAATTAATTAGAAGCAGAGATAGATGGTGATTAACAGTGGAATCCAAGACGCGCGTTTCCTCTTATACTGGGCTTGTCAGCTGGATTTACTTGCATCTCAGAGTCGATATTATCTTTGAATAACAAGTTCAGAGTGAAAATATTGCATAACTTAATAACTACATCTAAATTTTAATGTTTATGTTTTTTTCGATCAACTAAATATATATGAATTAACTTAAATGACTATTTCACCTGAACGTTAAACAGTTACTTAGAATTTTCGTCATAACATAATTTATCAAAGTTAGTCTAATGTATAGAGTTTATGTTTTGTTTATCAGATATTTTTATTCAATTACATGATTTTATGAGAAAAAGTCGTGCAATCAAATGACCATGAAGTTGATTCTGCCTTGCACTTTTATTTGTTCTTAGATTCTGTCAATTAAAATTGTGTATAAATGCCAGTTGAGTATGTTTATAAAATGAATTAGTTTTATTATACAGTTGGATTGGACTACGGTGTTTGTTAACTTGAAACAGTTAACTGTTATTGAAATGGTAGTTTGACTGTTAATTTTTTTCGTGCAAATAAATTATTACAATATATTTATGTAGCTCAGATCACATTTGTTTTTCCGCCAACCTGTTGATAAATTATTCACTTTCATCTTTTCAAAATTATCTCTAAGCTTAAAATAACTAATGAAGCAAAGAATCTGACCAATACCCATTTTGTTGTAGTCTGGCTTTTTTCATGCTTGCTCGTTCTTTTCCTTGCCCCCTTTTTTGTCATTTCCATCTGTCAGCACAGGAGTTAACAATAAAAAGGATGCGAAAACTTTCAAGTGTTCTGATTGCTGTCTTGTGTTAAAAAGTTAGCTTTCTTATTTTTCCTATTTTCACCCAAGAATACTTCACTGTAGTATAGTATTAAGTAATAAATTCATTATCAAGCTAAAAATTTCTCATCAACTTATCGTGTTATTCGTTTATTTTTTTACTTAAACAAAGGTTGTTTCGGAGTCGTCGAGTATTGCAGCTTTAGGTGGAAGCGGCAATTCGTTATCTCCAACTTTTCAAAATTTCCACTTATCAAATAGTCATAATGTTTCTTTGAGTTCATTAAATACGTCCACAAATTCCATGTTCCAATCAAACAGTCCAAGTCGAATTGTGGATTTACGTAGTTCCGGATTTTCTGTATCTTATGTAACCGCATCTGATGTAATCCATGCAAAGCAACAAGATATCCCAAAAATATTGAAGGTATTTTTTTATACTTATCTCTTTTTCGTTTAGAACTATGTTTTCATGTAATCGAAGCGTTTTATTGGACTAGGTTTCAGGTATTATACTTTTTGTAAAATAGCTATTAAACAAGTCATCTGACAATGTAATATCCCTAGGTGGAATGTATGATTTATTTTCCTGCCTTTTCCACCATAATTTTAATTTAGTATAGTGGCATTTATAAATCTGTTGATGACATTTCAGGTTTTATTTGATACCTTCTTAGATCAGCTTCTATTTAATAATTAGTTGCATTCTCTATTATAACTTGTGGCCTTGTGCCCTATTAATTAATATATAACGTAATTATACTGCCAATTAGAGAAAAGTGACTTATCGACCGGACCAACGACGCACAAATCCGCACGGGCAGTCTCGAATCGTTATCGATCCTTCTTCCTGCCTGTTGAGTTCAGAATGCAAATATGAACCTACATTACATGAATCATATATTTCAAACGTGCTACGTTTATATACAAGTTAAACAGACCACATCATATCATAAAATAGAAAATATTATTTGTACAATATCTAACCAAAAGTGGCTGTAATTGTGGGAGACTTTAATTAATAAACTGATCCTTCGTTTAATAATAGTCTATAGGTCAAAATAAAGCTTATAATAAGAGGAATATGTTTTTTATTTACTTGAACACATAAATATTGGTACAAGGGGGCGCCAGATGCATATGCGCTACATAAATCATTCGATTTGTGTGAGGATTGTATTACTTCCCGAGTACTCAAACCGTAGCAGATGGTTTTCTTATGGGGCCACACCTGGAGCCTTTGACCTCAAGGTCTGATCCACAAAACAGTAAAGCAACGTAAGGAGATGCACTCCCATGGTAGCCGCTGACCAACAATAGGTTCATACATCATTTGTTTCCTTAGGAGACTGGAGTCCATGTGCACCATTGGTTTGAAATCAGGGAAGATCTTCCGTATTCACCAACCCGGTTAAAGAGCCGGACATTCGCTTTTCATTCTCTCAATTTCGTAAACAACACCCGTGTTGCAAGAAGGCAGTGAGTAGGACTTCCGTGGCAGTGGTTTTATGCACGTGGCCATGTGAGAGTATTTCGAGAGAGAGAGCTGACATAGTTTAGTTACTTAACAATTATACAATAAAAGTATATGTATACCGTGAGTCCATAAATAGATCCCAGCCTTTACCATTATTCTCTTCGTGATATAACATCCTCCTTAGTCGAATTATGTGGAAGATCAATAAATCCCGTTGATAAATTCGGGAGTAAGATTTGTGCAAGCATAAATTGCTTCCGATATCATCTGAGTTTTATTGAATAAGTAAAACATATTAGTTAGTCAGTCAGTCAGCTACAACGTAGAACCAGACACACACGTGCATCGGTCCAAGTTGCCATAACCTCATTAACACAACAAGATGAACACCGAATTCTTAGAATTAGTTAATTTAGTGGTGGTAATATATAAAAGAAAGGTTATGTATAATGATATAGTACAGAAAGAAAGATATGAAACAATTTTAATCTTACAGTTTAAGGGAAGACAAAGAGTGTATACACCTGCGCCATTGTGGTCGATATTTGTTAATGTGCTCTGATTGATGATAAAATTGTCTATCTTGTAGCTTTTTTCACCTTAATGTATGAGTAGTTTTGTATGTATGCTACACTTATATTCATTGTAAATTAAATGATTGCTTGCATTTCAATAATATAATGTACTCTTTGGTTTACTAATTTATTCCTTCATTTCAAATCATATTCCGCATCTTCAGGTCAACAAGGCCGTCACTAGTAATCCTGTTTTTTAGTATATATATCTCAAGAAAAAGTTTCCCTACATACTGCGGACAGCCGAAAAGTGGCAATCTCTACAAATCTTAGTGACTCGAAATGTTCAGACATAAATGTTCTTAGTTGAATTGTTGGCTTTTATATGACTAATCTTTTTATATTGTAATGTAGTTTGTACGTCAGATTGACTACTGTGTATTGATCTCGGAGTACTTGTGTTGTTTCATTTGTCTCAACAAATTAACCTACTGGGATTAATAAATTAATCTATCTTATAATTTACAATGTTTTTCTATTTATTAGGTTGTTGTGGATGATTATCTTCCAAGCGCTCCATTATTTCTCTTATTTGAAAGCTCTGCACTTTGTGAATGTTGGTTTAAACTAATTCAAGATGTATTAAAATTAGTACAACGTCATATTAGTACTGATAATGAATCGCAGGTATGTTGTAAATTTTTTTCTTCATAAATGATTTATGTATTCAGGTAGTTTTGATCCATAGATTATTATCGGTGTATAGATACGATGTTGTAATTTCTGGGATAATTATGAAGCATTATTTTTCTTATAAAAGGTCATTGTTCAACTTGTATTCAATGTGTTTTTGATTACGACAAGCTTTCTTGTGTTAAATAAACATTATAAATTTAGTTTCATCCACCCCTACTGCCTTGATTCCGATTGCAATAGTGAAAAATGGACGTGAAATAATCATTTAAAATTCTTACAACCGTTTTCTAGCATTTCATAAACCGCAATTTTCATAAATATATTTGTCACAACACTATTCAGTGATGTGACCAATTTGTATCATTTTCTGCCACCATCAGTGGCTTACTAGTTGTAGCATTAGACTTCCAACTATTGAAAATATGAGAATCTTGTAATTTCATCGGTAGCCAAGTGTTCGGGCTAGATTTTTAATGATTATCTAAGCAGTCACTTGGCTTAATCAGATTTTTATACTAAATCATGTTATGTCCCTTCTAAGTTCGTATCCTAGATCTTAAGGCCCAATATTCCTCCATGCATACTTTTTCATTCTGTCTTTTTAAACGATATTCCCAATGTTTAGTATTTCTTGTTGTCATTGCTGCTACACTATTTCGATTTATTTCACTGATTTATCTGATTATTTATATCTCGTTGTGGTAATGTGGCAATTTGAGGCTAATGCACATTTTTGCTGGTCTCTGCGTTAATTATAGTTGATTGAATAAATTCAGTTCTGTCGATTATCAAGAATATATTACTGGTTACTTCCGAAAATAGATACCTAATTACCACATATTTTTTATTGATTCTTTGTTTTGAGTGTAAACTTATATTTTTCCAGTAAGTAAAGAATTTTCAGAATTATCACTTTATTTTAACATTTATTATTACTACAAAGGATTTGCGGAGATTGTCGAATTTCATAGTCCCCATTAATGGCTGATCCTATTTTGGTAATCATTGAAAACCAGGAAGCACTAGACAGCTATTCCGTCTTTGTATGGGGCTTCTCAACAGTGCACATTAACGATCCAGCTAACAGGGATGGAACTCAGGACATTAATGTCTCACGTTTTAGTAAAAATGATCAAACTCGTGTCATCATGTCTGAAGTTCAAGTCTTGCTTAACTTACTTCTTCTTAGACAACCAAGTAGTATCAATAACACACACCCATAAATTTGATTCGAAATTTTATACTCAAATCTGTTATAGTTTACTAAACTCTACTAAATTTATTAATTCAACTATAAAGTTTACATTGAGAGTGTATAATTAATTTCTGTCTAAGATTTCGATTATGAATATGTTCTTGCAACGTAAAATGTGTAGTCTATTAAATAAATATTGGTTCATACCACTCAACAAATCTTACTGATAAACTACATTCTCCTTAATTTAGCGATTAGACTTAATTAATTTCGATACTTTTTTATTATTTATTTTTACATCACTTTTCGAACTAATTCTCTTCATAGAATATGTAAATCACTACAAATTATTGTTGAGAGATTCATGAAGAAATACTTTTGTATAAAATTTTCACAATAAGATCCAACCATTTATCATGGTTCTCCCTTTATTTTTCTTTGATGACTCATTTGGCTTCTCGTCTATTTTATTATGTTGGTTGTTGCCGTTATTCTTATTATCATATTTTTTAGACATAATTCGTTTGTATGTTTTTTGCCAACTTAAAGTAACCATTGAATTATTTTCTGTTGTTTTATTCATATTTCATTCTAAGATTAAAATCCCATACAACTGTAACTAAATATGAATTTATTAGAAACAGTTGTACTCAGAATATTCTACGAAGCTGCTTTTTGCATGCGATATATATATATATATATAAAGATATATATATATATATATATATATATATATATATATATATTCTAAGATTACTTTATTTGATCATTGTCTACTTCATGATTTGGACTAACACACAAACATGTACAAAATGAGCTAACGTTTGGCTTTTGAGGGATGTAATACTTTTATCTTTTTTTCATTCTGTAGTTAAACTTGTACTTTTCCATACTTTACTACTCCAGATATGCCGTATTTTGACGTGCATATCCTCATATGCTCTGTCATGCAGTAAGATGATACATAGTTAACAAGTAGAATATTAGGTGTGTGAATCAGTATTTTATCGTGTATGTTTTCATGTTTGTTGTGTAGCCATAGAGTGAGTTCATTGTCAATGGTCAAAACCGGTAGAGGTAGTAAAGGTCCTTTCATCACTTTTTGATATTCTCTGAATTCTGTACACTATTCCACACATTTTTATTCTCTGATTTCATTCATCCCCTTAATTTCGCTCGCCATTACTTGGAGTCACATGTTTGGCAATATACTTGAGAATTTCGTCCATAGAAATTTATAAGGTAATTATTTCTGACCTTCGTTGAACCGTACATACTAAATGACATTAAGTTTATCAATGAATTCGTTGTGTAATATATATTCCTTGATATTACTTAATCTATATAAAGTAATCAAAATGCGAATGCTTATAAAATTTTATTTATAGTAATTTGATAAGTTCATATTTGACAAATTTGTACTTTTCAGTTTGTTTCTTATCTTTCTGTTTAACATCACGTTTAATTCTATAATATTATTGTTGTTGTGAGTGCTTGTTTATTTACAGCCAAAAGTAGAGTTGTGCAGTTAGCTTAATTTATACTGCTGTTAATGTATTTTCATGTTGTTTACTCTCCATCTGTTTTTTCAGTGTTTACAAGTGCGTGATGTTTCTGTCTCTTCTGTCTCTGTGATACTGAAACAAATCAATTGTGCTTCAGTTTTAGGTAAGTTCTTATGTCACGTTTTCCATAGAAAGCTTTTTATCAAATTATATGAGTATTTATATCCCTAATTTAATTTTATTATTACTTTTTACTTTCCTGGATGTCTATAGATGAATATCGATTCTTGGCTGGGACGGATGAAGGACTCTATATTGTTGATATCAGACAAAACAGTAAGTTGTTTTTGTTCAATAAAAAAACAGCACTTAAGTATTGCAATATATTACTTTCTCATTTTTAGGATCGCACCACCACTTTAGCGACAGTAATGTTAAATGCTGGTAAAAACGGTAATTCGATTGATGAAACTGTAAACTTACACCTATCAAGGTGATTTTTGAAATATGTCTCTCATTCCTAACTCTTTATCTACTTTAATGTACAGAGATATGTAACATCAAAAATATTGGACTATGGACTAGTTAAATAGAAAATGACATTTGGTAAAGTTGTTGATTGTTAGTGTTAGTTGTTGTGCTAGTCTCTGACTTCTTAATTAACTTTGAGACAGGTTTAGCATTTTTTGTCACACATACCATCTTTACTTACTTTCTCAATGGCGTTAACTCTTTTACGCATTATATAATCATTTACGCACATTATTTTCTCTAAATAACACCTTTTTGTAAAATTTTAGATTACTCCCTCCCGGACTGCATCTCCTCACGATGCTCCACTGCCTTGTGGATCAGACCTTTAGGTCGAAGGCTCTAGGTGTACCCTCCTAATAAAACCACCTACTTCGGTTTGGGCAACGGAGCAGTATCATAACCCACACACAAATCAAGTGACTTGTGTAACGTATATGTGTTTAGTGCCCCTTTGTATCAATATTTATGTATTCAAATAAATAAGTTGGCGTCATTATCCGACGGAACAACTGCAGTAGTTCTAACGAGTTGATATGATTTGCAACTTCACTACTGTCTTAATGATAGTAATATAGATAACCCATAAAAATCAGTCACGATTGATCACATGTTGATTCTGATTATAAATTTTTTACCCCTCCTAATCAGAGACTAGTCCCAGATCAGTTTGTTACAGTGTTTTCTAGTTTACCAGTCTTGTCTTTTATGACTGTTAAAAACTGTCAAGTGAATAATTTACTTCAATATTTTATGTAAGCTACTTGTTTCAGGGCGAAATTCAGTTTAGTAAACCTTGTATAAATCTATATTCAGTTTTGTACTGTCTTCTAGACGTGTAACTTGTTAATTTCATTCAAATGATTATCTTTTATTTTTATATAGTAAATACACGCATAGGTGCACGTAAACCAGTTTATCAAGTTGAAGCATTAGCTGAAGAACTTCAACTAGCTGTTGCTATACAAGGTTAGTGTATATTTGTTGATTTTTAAAGACTTTTTCAGTGATCACTTTTCATCTTATCACGAAAATATTTCTTTATGGAAATTAATTTGAATTAATAATAATAATATTAATACAAAGATTTGTGAATAAAGATAAGAGAGACAATTACATTTGACTACGAAAGGTCGTAAGTACATAGTCAAATTAGGTCATACAATAGCTAAGATGATTGTTCATTAATTGGCCTTGTGGTTGGCCAAGGGAGGAGTAGGGGTTGGAGATATTTCTTCTGTACACATAGCTCAGGTTTCTTCATTCTGATGGCTACTGCCTCCGCCGTTTGAAGGACTTTAAGCTTGACAAGCTTAGGCAAAAAGTTACTGACTCTATAAATAATTGAAAAAGATTGGTTTATACTGACACTATGACCAGTTTATACTAAATGGGCCAAAATCGAGCTGTTTACTTTCCTCATCAGACCTTTGCTTAGCCACGCTGGGACGTGTTCACGAGCACGAAAATGTAAATTCCTAGAACTTCGACCAATATAACTTGCTCCACAGGAGCAATCGAACTGATAAATACAAAATGAAGTGGTCATTCTAGGAACTTCATTGTTAAGCCTCGATGTCACCATTGGACGCGTAGAAAACACCAAACGTAGTTCACCTGCGTTGAAAGATTTTTGGATAGATCTGCGTAATCTCTGAGCAAGTATTTCGCTAGCGGCATCCCCCCTGAATTGTAGGCGCATGAACAAGGACTTTTGACCGTTTGAAATTCGCCCATTTTCACTTTAAAGATCATATATTTAATTATAAACTTTGTGGGATACCCGTTCTCCCTCAGAGCATTATGCAATGTGTTTAGCTCATTGTCAACTACATCCGCCGAACATATAGTGCGTATTCGATAGCTAAGTGTTTTGATTAGGTTTCGTTTGTACTGTAGAGGTACAAAGCTAAGGAAGTGTGTATGCTGTCCAGTCCAAGTACTTTTTCTGTTCATGTTTCTTCTTAACGATCCATCTGATCTCTTAGTTAAGTGGACGTCCAAAAAGGCTATTCGGCCATCACTCTCTTCCTCCGATGTAAACTGGATCAGTTGAAGTTAGACATTAACACCGTTGGATGCCAGCTCAGTGGTCTATCGGTTAAGGGCTTCGGCTCGAGACTGGTAGGTCCTGGGTTCGAACCTCGCGAGAGCGGGTTCGTGGATGCGCACTGCTGAGGAGTCCCATAATAGGCGGAAACGCCCGTCCAGTGCTTCCAGGTTTTCGATGGTGGTCTAGCTTCAATTGACTCATGATCTCAACTTTGAAAAAATACTGAAATCTCCACAAATCCCCTTCTGATTATTATTATTATTATTATTATTATTATTATTATTATTATTATTATTGGTTAAATATCATTATTAATCCCCCCTATATGATTCATTCACATCGCATTGATCCCTCCTTATTACGTCTCACTAATTTTTCACACAATTTAGTCTTCCACTTGATCGAATTGTATCATATCTCCCTCACCCTATCTGACCCATATTTATTCTGATCACAGATCTTAAATTTTCACTTTACATATATACAGATTCAAGTTAACCTTCTATATGAGTCATATCAACATTAACAATTTTATTCTATTCGATTTGACATTCCTAAATTTACATGCATTAAACTATGTACTTTGCCTTTAACTTGGCCAATTTTCTTTCGTAGATTATTAATTTGGATATGTAATTGTAGAACCTAAAAAGAATTTATCGAAAAGAATATTCTTCGTTCAAATATTAATCTTTTAATATGATTGGGATTTTTAAACGATTAAAAAGAAATACACTGTCGTTTTATTCATTAAGTAAAATACCATCTTTTCTGTTTTCCATCATTGAAATCATTAAGTTTTTAATCATAAGAGTGGATTAGCTAGTTAGATCAATTTTATGTAAGTTTAATTACCTCATCCATATTTCTCTGCTCGATATGATAAAATATTTGGAACTAAATTCACATACATGGTAAGCAGAGATGGATAGTGGCTAGCATTGGAATCCAGGACGCTCGTTTCGTCCTATTTGGGACTTGTCAGCTGGATGTACCTGCATCTCAGAGTTGATGTTCACTCTGGGACTCGAACCCAGTACCCTCGCTTCAAACGCCATCGCGTTATCCACTCGGCCACTGAGTCTTGATAGCCACTTGCTTGTGCGATGGGGTGAAGTTTAAATCCAACTTAGTATTGTTTGTTTGAATCTTCCCATCGATTTGTTAGGACTGCAACTGGTCAGTCTCTAATTGGCATATGTGCATACTGTGCGTATTGCCTCGATATACCTTAATTCACAAGCATAGTAAGCAGAGATGGATAGTGGCTAGCAGTGGAATCCAGGACGCGCGTTTCGTCCTATTTGGGACTCGTCAGCTGGATGTACCTGCATCTCAGAGTTGATGTTCACTCTGGGACTCGAACCCAGTACCCTCGCTTCAAACGCCATCGCGTTATCCACTCGGCCACTGAGTCCTGATAGCCATCGATGGGAAGATCCAAACAAACAATACTAAGTGAATTTAAATTTACATACATTTACGAAATATGAATGTGCAATATTTTGGGTTTTCTTTTAGCCGTTATCATAAGTCATTCGAAGCATTACATTAAACTAATGCTAATTTTGTATATGTTTCCATAAATAGTTTGCTCTAACGTATACTTTAACAGAGTAATCAATGAATTGTTTTAACGATTTGAATTTTGGATTTCTTAATTTAGGTAAACAACGATTCCTAAAATTAATACTGGTTGGATCATTTGAAGGAATGAATTTAAAACCAATCAAAATTACTGAACCAAAATTATGTACTCGATTCACTTGTTCAATGAGTCGAAACAATACAGTTTGTTTGATTTGTGTGGCCAGTAATCGTTCATTGTTTATTTTTGAAATTGCACGCGTACAAGGAAGACATAAACGTTTAAAAGAAATTTCATGTCCGTATATTGTTCAATCTATCAATTTCGTTCGAGATGGTGATTGGATATGTGTTGGATCATCAAATTATTTTGCTATGTTTAGCATATGGACTGATGGACCCGCGCAAGGTAGGAAAAACTGACGCGATGTATTGTCAGATTACTAATGACTGCAACACATTCTAGTGATATTCAATGCTGTGTCGTTGTAAAATAATGACCAGGGATTGTATGCTTTCAACCGTTTATATCCTGTTTCCACTCTGGTATATTAGGAAACTTATGTAGTTTATCTTACCCTAACGTTACTAGTTCGACTCAGAGTCAAGTACAAGAATGTATATGTGATTTTTACTTTGCTTTCGGCAATTCAAAATGTGTTACATTTTTTTCAGGTATCAGTCAAATCAAAATTTATGTCTTCGTGTAAAGTGGTGGCTTAGTTATTAAAATACTACACTTTCAAATCACCAAGTCACAGTTTCGAACCCCGTCCTACCTTCTCCGACATAGGCCATCGGATAATATCACTAATCCTCACAATTAAAGTGTAGCTCATACCCATGTACCTGGTGAATGAATTGGTTTGTTTATTGTGTCTTCTTACCTACATAAAGATAAGATTACCATGCAAGCTGATTTCATTTCCGTCGTTTGAATTTGTACAAATGTTATCTAATTTTTAATAGAATGACTTTTAGATTCATAATATTTTTAGTTTGTGATTCATAATATCATTTGTTTTCCAAATTTCCTATTTTTAAAAGTTTTATTACGTGGAGACCTCATTGACCTTGACTCCAGTCTGGCATTTTTCCAACACTCACCGTCAGAAGCTCATTGTGCTGTTCAATTGGGAGATGATGAGTTTTTGTTAGCATTTGAAAGTAAGCGCAAAGTATTCACCGTCTCTTGATGCATTCCATATCTTCTGTCATTTACATATTGCTCAGACATTTTTAAACAACTGAATTATTTTCTTTCCCTTTTTTGCTTTCTTATGTAGATTGTGGAGTCTATATGAATAGCAATCGTAAAAAAACACGACCAGATAATCTTATGTGGCCTGCTAAACTTATTTCCGGTACTGCTGTTAGCTTTTCCTATCCGTATTTATATGTATTTACGGAGGCTGGATTAGTTGTTTTTAATGCTGTCACTAGTTGCTGGGTTTCAACACTTAGCTCCTGTCGTGTTCAACCTTTAAGTATGGATGCACATTTATGTCTTGCACACCTATCATCAGCGTCTGTTTCAAACTCATCGTCTCGTAAATCAGCAATTGGTAGTATCATAGATTCTTCTACCGGCAATGTTGCTACACCTTCCCCACCATACGTTTCTCCAAGTGATTTAGTTTCTGGTCAACAACAACAACAACTGTTACGGTTGATCCACTTACCTCAGACATCCGATAGCAAAGAAATGTCGAAACAGCAAGTGTCGGCATTGCGAAGTAGGCGATTACAAATGCCTCAGTCTAGTATCTTTGGTGTTACTGGGCGCATGCGTGTAAGTGTTTTTTTTTGTAAAACAAGTAATTATTTGCTACTATTAATAACATTTTCTGCTTCACTTAATTTTGCAAACATTTAAAAATGAATTAATATACTGAAGTTTCCCTTTTTCTAATCAGACCGATAATGGTGTTTGAACCAGTTGTATCACTGTGTTAAAAAAAAACACTGAAATATAGTAAAGTGCTTAACTTCAGAAAACATTATTTTATTAAAATAAGTTTAATGACGTTGTTTACAGCAATATGGATTATTATTAGTTGATTTTATTGCGTACACCTCACTCCATGAACATTATAATTCACTAACCTGGCTCACTTGTATGTAGAAGGTAACAATACTATCTAGTAGTGATGCACCTAGGATGGCCGAGTGGTTAAGGTTGTTAACTTAAGATCCCCTGGGTGTGTCCCCGCGTGGGTTCAAATCACACTTCTAGAAGGCGGCCTTTGTAACCACACCACTGCTCTGCCAGCATTCCTCACTGTGACAACACCGTGCACACTATGAAACCCGCACATTCCCTCATCACCTCTGTCCATACGTGCTCACTGTGTCGGTGTAGAGTTGGTGCGTGTGCAGTGCATTCTTGTCGCTTAGTAATAATGCGTCAGCGAAGTTACGAGGTGTTTAGAACTTTAACGTAGTTGTTAATGGTGAATGCTCAAACGATGAGAACATTTATCCACATCTGAGTTTAAGAACTATCTGACATAGGTCACTTGTAAATGTTTTAAATATATTGCCGTGTATTTTGTAACTGTATGTTTAGACTCGGAGTGTTTAATAACATTACATATAACTTTTTATCACTAGGCACCCATTATCTTAAAGTATAAATACAATTAGTAAGAATTTTAAGTGTTTTCCCTTATCTGAATCCTTTCAAGCATGCAATTATCATTTATAATTCTGTCACTATTCTATACTACGTTTATCATTAGCTTGTAAAATCATCGATTCAGCGGGTACGCTAAACTTTGTCTTACATTTATCCTGAACTAACTATCGAATTATCTAAACTAACTCAGCATTCACCATTGTTTTTTTTCTCTGTCTTATAAAGCTTTTTCATGATAAAAAAACAATTGTTTTTTTTTCATTCACCCCATACGTACAATACGTATGTTTCCTTATATTCCATACTTCTCATCACCATATTTACTGACCAGCAGATATTTTCACAACCAGTCTATTACGTTTAATCAGTATCATGCTGTCAGTAAATGTTGATACTGAATAAAAAGGCAAATTCCAATCGACATCTTCATATACACATCTCCATTTTTAAGTGACAAGCTTTTTTCTGGTAAGTTAAATATGAAAAATAGATATAAAAATGAAAAGGTGGAATGTCAATTCATTTCAATATATATTCAGTATCGTAATAGTCCTGTTATATTTTTGAATAAGTTAAAGTAGAGGGTAATTGCACAAATGAAATTGTGAAACAGTTGGTAATAATATATTATTTTAATCGCTTATATCTTGTTCATAGAAATCTAGTCGCTTCAATTTGTACTCTCTTGTGGAAGACAGTTTATCAGGTACTTCCCATGGGATTAGTCCTGAAAGAGTAAGAAATTTCCGTTCTCAATCACAACATCGGACTCCACAATCATCTGTGCAATCAACCGTATCATTGAATCCAACAAGTGGAACTTCTCGTATATCAAACCTTATTTCAGGTCCTTCAGACTTTCGTCACATTTCGCACATGGGACCTCAAATAACAGGTGCACCTCTTTTAGATCTCAATTCTAGCCCAGGGGAACCACCTCTCACAGAGGCTGAACGAATTGCAAGATTCAAGTCTGTATTGGATGAAAAATGTGGTATTTCACCCAATTATTGTGGTGACGGTAATCGCAGAGGTTCTTCACCCAATAATATTTCCAATGTTTCACTCCACCTTCCTTTTTCCGACCCAAGCAACTCACCACATGGTTTTTTTCATAATGCTTCATTGACTCAGATATCGACGATGACAAAATCTCAATCAGTAAGTTATATATTGACTTTGGGATCTTATTTTTATTTATTCATTTATTTAAGCACATAAACATTCGTATAAGGGACACCAATTAAATATGCTCCACTTAGATTATTCGACTTTTGTAAGGGTTGTATTACTTCCCGAATACTCAAATCGAAGCACATGGTTTTTTTTAGAGGACCACACCTGGAGCCTTTGACCTGAATTTCTGATCCACAAAGCAGTGAAGCAACGTTAGAGAATTGCACTCCCATGGTAGTCGCTGACCAACAACATATACCATTTGTTTCCTTAGGAGACTGGAGTCCATGTGCACTATTGGTTTAAAATCAGGGTTTTTCCAACTCCCCAAGGTGGATCCTCCATATTTATCAACCCGGTTAAAGAGCCAGACATTCGCTTTTCATTCTCTCAATTTCGTAAACAACACCCGTGTTGCAAGAAGGTAGTTAGTAAAACTTCCTTGGCAGTGGTTTTATGCACGTGGCCATGCAAGGGCTTTTCAAGAGGAAGATTCAACTCTCTCCACTCTCGGATCCACCAGGACATTTGGGGGTACTTTGTTATCTTATTGTTATAATTATTCCATATAAAGTGGAAAAAATGATTTATAGTTGATTCTAGTGCAAGTTGTCAGAAACAATATCTTCGATTTGAAAAAAATTAACATTCGTATTGAAAGCACTACTAAACATGACACTTAGGGACCACGATTTATGATGCTTCTAAATGAGCTTTATCCAATTAAACACTTGAAGCAAACTTTTGATTGGATGCCAAGGATGATTGTTTTTAAGTATATTACCATTTTGTTTTACTTTGTTTAATAAAATGTCGAGTTATTTGACATGTTCGTGTAGATACAAAAATCATCCCCAATAAAGTAATTAGGAGTTTTATCATCCAACTTAATTTTCTGGTTGTTTAAACGTATTCAGGTTCCTTCAATTCCTACGAAAGCTGTAACTTTAAAGAGATTCATAATTGTGTGTATAATTTTTCCAGTCAGTTTTGAGTTGCACTTCGTATGAGTGTTACGAATGCTATTTAGCCATCCAAACTGTTTTAAGGGCAGAATTCTCATCCACACGGCTTATTAAATTAAATTCAAATGTTTAAAAACACTTGTCCATCTCTTCACTTAATCCGTTTATCTGATGATTAACTTTCTGTCTCTTCAATAATTATGTGTGTTTAAACATGTGAATCTCATCAACGATGAATATTCTGTAAAATCTATTTTTGCATACTTACTTACTTACTTATGCCTGTTACTCCCAATGGAGCATAGGCCGCCGACCAGCTTTCTCCAACCCACTCTGTCCTGGGCTTCCTTTTCTAGTTCTACCCAGTTCTTGTTCATTATTCTCATGTCTGTCTCTATTTCTCGGCGTAATGTGTTCTTTGGTCTCCCTCTTCTTTGACCTTCAGGATTCCATGTGAGGGCTTGTCTTGTGACGCAATCAGGTGATTTCCTCAAGGTGTGCCCAATCCACTTCCAGCGCTTCTTCCTGATTTCTTCCTCTGCTGGAATCTGGTTTGTTCTCTCCCACAGTAACTTGTTGCTGATAGTGTCTGACCATCAGATCCGAAGTATCTTGCGTAGACAGCTGTTAATAAACACTTGTATCTTCTGGATGGTGGCTTTCGTAGTTCTCCACGTCTCCGCCCTATACAGTAGGACTGTCTTGACATTTGTATTGAAAATTCTAACCTTGGTGTTGGTTGACAATTGTTTTGAGCTCCAGATGTTTTTCAGTTGTAAATATGCTGCTCTTGCTTTGCCGATCCGCGCCCTCACATCTGCATCTGATCCACCGTGTTCATCAATGATGCTGCCCAGATATGTAAAGGTTTCCACATCCTCCAAAGCTTCTCCGTCAAGTGTAATTTGATTGGTGCATATTGTATTGTATCGGAGAGTCTTGCTTTCCTCTTTGTTTATATTGAGACCTACTGCTGCTGAGGCTGCTGCTACACTGGTCGTTTTCTCCTGTATTTGTTGTTGCGTTTGTGATAGAAGAGCCAGATCATCTGAGAAGTCTAAATCGTCAAGCTGCATCCTGCCTGTCCACTGTATCCCGTGATTTCCTCCAGATGTTGACGTCTTCATGATCCAGTCGATGACCAGGAGAAAGAGAAAGGGTGAGAGTAAGCAACCTTGCCTAACACCGGTCTTTACTTGAAACGACTCGGTGAGTTGTCCTCCGTGGACGATTTGGCAGTTTAGTCCATCATAGGAGTTCCGTATGATGTTGACTATCTTCTCAGGCACGCCGTAGTGTCGAAGAAGCTTCCATAGTGTCGTCCTGTCCACGCTATCAAATGCCTTCTCGTAGTCGATGAAGTTGATGTAGAGTGATGAATTCCATTCGATTGATTGTTCCACAATGATACGTAGAGTTGCGATTTGATCTGTGCACGATCTATCCTTACGAAATCCAGCTTGTTTATCTCGAAGTTGGGCGTCCACGGAATCCTTCATCCTGTTTAACAATACTCGGTTGAAGACTTTTCCTGGTATTGAGAGAAGAGTGATGCCCCTGTAGTTGTCGCACTTGCTAAGATCACCTTTCTTTGGTATCTTGATCGGAAATCCTTTTTTCCAGTCTGTTGGTACTTGTTCTTCGTCCCAAATCTTACTGAAGAGGATGTGTAGTATCTTGGCAGTTGCTGTTACATTTGCTTTCAGTACCTCTGCCGGGATGTTGTCTGGTCCCGCTGCTTTGCCACTCTTGACTTGTCTAATGGTTATGCTGATCTCTTCAATTGTTGGTGGGCCAATATCGATTGGGAGGTCTGTGGGTGCTGCTTCGATGTTGGGTGGGTTCAGTGGAGCTGGTCGATTCAAGAGTTCTTTGAAGTGTTCTACCCACCTGTTTCGTTGTTCTTCAATGTCGGTGATTACTTTGCCTTCCTTGCTTTTCAGTGGTCTTTCTGGCTTACGGTAATTTCCAGCAAGTTTCCTTGTTGTATCATACAGTTGTCTCATGTTTCCCTCTCTTGCAGCCTTTTCCGCTGTCGTTGCTAAATCTTCCACATATTTACGTTTTTTGGTTCTGATACTCCTCTTCACTTGCTTGTTTGCCTCTGTGTATTCGGCTTGTGCCTTGGCATTTTCCGCTCTGGTTCGGCTTATATTGATTGCTGCCTTCTTGTTCCTTCTTTCTTCAATCTTATCCAGTGTACCAACAGTGATCCATTCCTTGTGATGGTGCTTATTTTGGCCCAGAACCTCTTGACATGTTGAAACGATTGCCTCCTTGATACCTTTCCAGTTGCTCTCCATGGTAGTCCCCTCTCCATTGAGTAGATCATAAAAGGCCTGGAACCTGTTGCTGAGGGCTATGTTGAATTTGTTGAGTTTGTCAGCATCTCGAAGAAAGGCCGTATTAAACTTTTGTGATGTTGTCCGCACCGTTGTCCAGTGCTTCTTGAGTTTTAGTTTGATCTTGGCGACCAGCAAATGATGATCGGATGCTATATCAGCTCCTCTTCTGGTTCTCACATCCTCCATCGTCCTCCTGAACGTTTTGTTGATGCAGATATGGTCGATTTGATTCTGTGTAATGTGACCCGGTGAAATCCAAGTGGCTTTGTGTATGTTTTTGTGTAGAAATATGGTGCCCCCTATGACCAGTTTATTGAAGGCACATAGGTTTGCAAATCTCTCACCATTTTCGTTCCTTTCTCCCAGTCCATGTTGTCCAATGACGTCTTCGTATCCAGTGTTGTCCATTCCAACCTTAGCATTGAGATCTCCCATTAGAATGGTCAGGTCCTTGGTTGGGCAGTTCTCGACGATCGACTGCAGCCTATCGTAGAATTGGTCTTTAGCGTCTTCATCGTAGTCATTGGTAGGCGCATAGCATTGGATGACGTTCATTGTAATGCCCTCTCTCTTTGTTTTGAAGGAGGCTTTGATGATCCTTGGTCCATGAGGTTCCCATCCAATAAGTGCATTTTGTGCTTTTCTGGACAGCATCAATGCAACTCCTTGTGTATGTGGGGCATTTTCTTCTTCATGACCGGAGTATAACAGAAGTTCTCCTGAAGACAGTCGTTGTTGTCCAACCTGCGTCCAATGTGTTTCGCTTATTCCAAGCACCTCCAGGTTGTATTTTCTCATTTCTGCAGCAATTTGGAAGACTCTTCCGGTCTCCCACATTGTTCGGACATTCCATGTACCTATAAAAATTGTCGCTCTGGTTGTAAGAAGGTGCATCGTCCTCATGACTTCCGAATGAACTCGGCTTTCATCATGAGACGTCATAATTATTCCTTCTACTCCCAGGGCAGAGTTTAAATGGTTTGAATGATTTTTCTGGTTAGCGTTTTTTTAGCGAGTTGATTTTGTACGGGATGGGGTCGCTAACCCCATGTCCAACCCTCCTCCTTTACCCGGGCTTGGGACCGGCAGTAACCCCCAGAGGAGCTACAGGCGGAGTTTATTTTTGCATAAGACATTGAATATTTGCTTAAATTCGCCAATTTACAATTCTACTATCTTTAAATTGAAAATTGGTTAGTTTACAGAAGTGTCTAGATTTTGCTTCCCTTTTTACTGTGAAGTATTTTCATATTTGCTTACATCTATACAGGGTGAAGATGTTGTTTAAACAGGTTAAAACAATTTTATCAACTAAAATTTATTCTGCTAGAGTAGTGTTTATACTGTTGAACCATTATTTCGATTACTTCATGAGAATTTGAATTCTGTTTGAACACCTACCATTTCAGATAAGATTTTCAATCTAATTAAGCTCCGTGCAATATTGAGACTCGTATTTCTTTTAAAGCACTAACTATGAATAGATTGGTGTCCTTACTGATGAAACTTTGTAGCTAGGATATATGTCAGTCATTCAGTGAAAATATGTTTTGTAACTACAAGATAGTGTACTTCATACATAAAATGTTATCTATGTTAATCTAATATCTACTGTAAATTTCCTTTGGTGATGTCGCTGTAGTTTTCAGAATTTACTAGTGTTTTCTTCAATGTAAATTGTAAATAAGCTATGCTACCTAGCACATTTTCTGTCTTTACACGTTTTCTGTCAAACTTCATCTTATACATGGTTACTTCTTGAATTCGTTGAGACGTAAAATAACCGTCTTCGGTGAATATTCTTCACTTATTCCTCATTTTCTGTCGACATTGAATCTAGTTATCACATTCTGTCTTTTTATGTGACTGACACTGAAAAATCACTCTTTTAACTGAGTGACACTATTTTACGTGATACTATGAGATAGCGAACACTAATGATATATATATATATATATATATATATATATATATATCTTCACTGCAGCAGCTACATTGACATAGTAGCCGGGTCTGCTTATCTTAATAATCCTGAAGATTTATTTTGACCGGATATGTTGTTCTTGGAGATCACACCATACTGGACAGGTCAATTGGAAAGTGATGAAACCAAAAGCGGCAAACACATGGTGCAAGGGTGAAGTCTTACTGCTAACTGTACAGATGTGTAGTGGCAGTAAGATGTTTCGCCCCCGGTTACCATCATCCTCAACAATCCTGCCTTCTTAAAACGGAAGAAAGGGATTGAAAAGCTTGACCTTGAAATATCACACTTCACCTAACTCGATGGATTTCTGTCTCCGATGGTTGACCCTTATGAGGTGAAAAGCTGACTCATCAAAAACTCAAACTAAGTTTGTCTGTGACTGACTGATATACGTACATTTTCCAAATCAGATGTAAGTTTAGGGATTTCACATTATTTTATGTTAGTAAGACGATGTATGAATTTTCTTAACCACTTTATAATTTCACTTTTTTCCGTACAATTTAAATTTTGCGAACTAAATATAATCTATGTGAAATGCTTAAATTAACTCTTCTTTTTGTTTTTCATTAAATTACTTTTTGTTACTTCACAGGATTTGTCTACACATATAAATTAATGTCCGTAAGGTAGCTGTTTTGATTGTTTATTTTTCCTATGATTCATTGTATTTTCGGTTGATGAATTATTGATTTTCTATTCAGTATAAACCCTTGTGTAATATGAAGCAAGAAACAATATAACAGTGCTAAATACTAATGTTCAAGAATCCCAATGTTGTTGATTGCTTCATGACAAGAGCATGTTTGTCTACTACTAATACTAATACTACTACAACTGCACACACACTGTATATATATGTATTTGGCTGCACTTATTTTTATATTTTACCCATCTTATGCAATGATAATAGCAGACCTACACTTAATTGCCACTCTCACAATCCACAGCCTGAGTTAAAATTAAAGCCCTAGCGATTAAGCAATTTTATTATTGGAAACAAAAACACAGATTTTTTGGCTTCTTAAACTTCTGAAAATAATTTCAAATGATATTCTCATTTCTACTTTAGATCCTTTTTGTAAAATTAATTTCAGTAACCTGATTTTTTATCATTTTTTATGTGTGCATCAGCCTGTTTATTTGGTGTATATATATGTGTGTGTGTTTGTTCATGAACTTTTACTAACAAGGAAAATACCTATAAGATATTTTCCATTGAAAAATATTTAATTATCTGTGAATTAATTAACCATGTTTGGTAAACTGGTTTACATAATATCTTGAAATTGTTTCATTTCTTCCTTGTTCAACAATTTTTACGCTATTGTAGATAGCACTTTACAATCTAAATGATTTTAGTATACCTAAAAAGAAAGAAGAAGGACATTTTTCATAGTAAGTTGTTGATTTCACTTATGAACTGCTCAACCTATACAGCTGAAAATCTGTGATAGATTCGGAACTTTTCACTGAATGTCCTTGAAAGTTAAACAGCTTAGACCAAGAAATAAACAATTTCATAAAACTAACCATACTATTTATTTGTTTCTAACTACCAACCAGATAGTTAAAGCGTATGTTGTTTAAGACAAAAAAAGGTGAATTCACCATTATTATTTTGATGACAACACTGCTTCACACATAAAGTGTGTGTTATAAACATTTTAATGAATACTTAGTTTGCATACATGTGCGTTTAGTTTTGCCTTTATCAAGTGTGTAAGTATACATAATTATAGTTTGTATCTTTTTAAGCATCTAATTTGCATCGATCGAATTTTAACCTCTTTTTCGACGTATTTTTAATTTTGTCTTAACGTTTTTAGTTGTTTTTTTTTAAAAAAAAAATGCTAATAAGTAGTGTTTGTGTTCATTTCCAATGTATCATGTAGTTGACAAAATTTTCTCTTTATTTATTTTGAAATGATCATAACCATCAGAGTAAATATTATCATTTCTGACGTGATTGTTTTCTAATGTCACTTTGTCATAATTAATAATAATAATTTTTACAAGTGATTCTGTACTTGATATTTATGATAAATCGATATTCGGTGCTATTCGTTTACTATTAGTCAAGCTATGTTATGAAATACAGTGTACATGTTGTTAACGTCTTAATTATTGATGTTGTGTTAGTTATACTCTCATTTTAGATCAAGATGCTGATAATATTCCGTTTTCTGTTTATTATCAAACAATTGTTTATTTAGTTATTCTTGTTAATTTTATATAACTTTCGCAGATAATCATCTACTTTGATATCTTAGTAACTGAATTAAGTGGTGCTCAGAAATTCTTATTTCTCGTATTAGTATTCTTTTTCCAACGATCCTATGACTAGATAAAACATGATCTACTTTGATTTATTATTTCACCAATGTTAATTTGTATCTGGTCTTTCTGTGCTTATGATTGTTCGGTGGATAGTCGAAAGTCACTCATTTTCATTTGAAGCTCTAAAGGTTTGTCTTCTAGTCTACTAATACTTTGCCGTATAATAAATGTGATTGCTCTTTTCTTCAGGTTTGTTACGAGTATTTATTGAGCTAAACAAATGTATGTTACGTTAATTTGACTGCCAGTGTTTAGTGAAACTAGCAGTTTCATTGACTTCATTCTATATAGGTGAACTAGGATAAACATTTCATGAATAAGTGTACTTTATATGTAACTCATGTTTTTGAGCTGTCTGTTTCAATGATTGGTTGAAAGCAGAATGAAATAAATAAGAACTTGCACTACAGTCAAAATGAAGTATAATATCATTTCGCTAACTCATCAACTATTAATGTAATCAAAGTAGAAAAATTTAAACTAGCTAACTAGTGTTAAAACGGGATTGGCTTTTCGCCATCCTTACGTTTAATGAATCTTCTAAATTATTAATTTAAATGCAAATTTACCAAAAAAGTTAACTGTATTGTGAAGTTCTCACCTTATTATTCGATTAGTCCAAAAACCATAAGGTTTGATTGTAGACAGTTTAAAATATCCTATTCAATTATATCTTACCTTCACTATCAACAGCTTTCTTTTGATTGCGTCCATATTTGACGATCGACTGTTTTCACTTGATCGTTTCAGTTTTAAAACTAAGTACAGCCAATTACAGTTAAATGATTCACCTGCAAAAGTTACTATATAGATGCCCAGTACTGAGATGTATAAATTTGATTAAGGTTTTATCGTTTCCTCTAATGGTCTCTGATGATTTCAACAATTTGACTACATTAACTGTTTTTTATAAATAATTATTTCACTAAACGCATCTAACAATGTGATTACAATATCCGTTTTTCCGGAAAAATGCAATCTGAGGCTTTTGAAACAATTATAAACTAGAGGTGTGTCTGTTTGTCATTTTGACATAATATAACTACAGAGGGCCTAATATACAAAATTTCAGTGAACTGCTTTACAAAATAGCTTTTTTTAATTTTTAAATTAGCATATTCTCTACACTACTTAAAATACGTTTTTGTTCGATCCATTTAAATATTTCACTATTCCTCTCGATCGTCTATGTGAACTACACTTGTTAAACAAGTTAGTGTACTTCATTAAAACGTGTAGAATCAAATCATTAAAAAAACTCCGCTTCTCTCTTATTCTTAATTAGATTATTTTTTGTCTAAATTCTCCCCGACATTAGTTTTCTGCCTGAAATATCGGTTTTTAAATATTGGAATTCATAGTAAAAACATTTCATAAGCAAAGTTTGGGGACTCCAAGGTTAAGCTTTTAACTGACTTCTGTAATTCTTTAGTGATCCAGGCAGGGTAATTTTCGGAGATGTGTTTCGGAAGATGTCACTTTGTGCGGCTAGTCTAGTCAATTCCGGCTTCTCCACTTCACACATGCTGTCAAAAGAATCGGCTTATTAAGAATGCAAATGAAAAACTTATGTACACTAGACGCTATAGCTGTCCAACAGTTTACGCCTAACCTTTGCGTACATAAAAACTATGTTCACTCCTATATTATTCCATGGTCTTAAACTTCCTTTTTATATTCCATAATCTATCGTTTTTTGTTTTATTATTTCTACTTCTTTCCAATTAGTTTCACAACCGTTAATTATCAATTATTACAACTTTTATTTATTCTATTTTTAGTAGCTATCATGTGAACAACTATTTTCGCCTTGTCATTTATTTCACTAGGCGATTATCATTTTTTCCTTTCAGTATCTGATTTCCAATTTTCGACAACACACTACTTCAAGTTTTTTTTTTAATATTTAGCACCGTTTTGTTTTACTACAGAAAACTATTTCAGCAAATTAAATTAACTATAAATACAATTGCACAACTTAAGTATATGAAATCGTCTTAAAGGAAATCTCCTCTGAATTGCTTTATTCAATTACACAATTGTAGGACTCATCATGTACGAATTGATTCAATTCCTTCTATTCTATTTATTATGAAATCTGTAAACTTGATATTTTTAGAGTAATTCACAAAAGACAATATTAATTAAACAAATTTTATTTTGTGTAAAGTCAAATTGTACGTAGTATTATCTTTCTGAAGAAAATAGCGCGCATATTAATCAACTGTGATTACTTTTATTCACATGTTTTATTCTATATTTGTTTATTATTGTTTAGAGACAATCAACTCCTTTTACACACAGATTAAGTCTAACTGATTTAGAATGTAGTGAAGATCAACATTATATGGATCAAAAACTTTCTTTTAATATTGCACCCGGTCAATCCCAACGTGCTCGTTCTTCATCGTTACGTCCTAGTGTAAAAAATTTACTTTCCAATTTAGGTGATGTAACCAGTATGTATAATAAAAATTCCTCTTCTAAATCGGGATCTCATAAACGGATTAGTGATGCATCATCTTGTTGTCAAAGTAATGTATCATCTGTGGAGAAAAACAATGGAACTGTTACTACACCAACTTCTTTTCCATCACTTCGAATTTCTAATTCACCAAGTATTCAAGATACAGTGATGGCATTATTTTCAAAGGTATGTACTATTATTATATTATGGTAATTGTGTTTCTCTGTAAATGTTTAAAATTTCGGTAACATGCAAGTGTCTGGTTCTAATGCATTAGTGTTTTCATTATGAAACATACTTTTGTCACACAGATCACATATCTGTAACGCCCTACTTCCATAAAATCAACACAATTACAGGATGTTTCCTCACTAATAAAAATAATAGAGATTACTTACATGTAGCTGTTTTAATAAATATGAACTGTGAGTTTACCATTTTTTCCTGAGAATATTATCTTTGTGGTAGTTAGTTGGTGATGTATGCTACGCCACAAAAAAAACAAGCTATATATTTGTAATGTGTATCATGATAGATGATACATAGAATAAAGTCCTGGGCGCTGGAATTATATTGTCTAAACTACTGACCCGTAGACCGCTACGCCATTTCTTATTTGATATTTACGATTTTTCCTAGTATTCTCACTAGTGCATTTTCATCTAACATGTTCAAATAACGGGATTACAGCAATCCAATTCTGTTTTCTTTTTGCTTTCATAGCTTTCTGATGATAGCCCTTCTTGTCCTTAATTTACGATCAAATATCATCATTTTTCATCCTTCTTCGTATATTGTTTTCACTGGAAGATCCTACCATTTTCTACTTATCTTGAAATAGAGATTGTCCACATTATGATCAATATTTTGTGCAGGCTGTGATTTCGCGGTAAATATAATAAAAAACCCTTCTTTTCGCGTTATATCACTGGACCTAGTTTCAGCTTTATTTATATTTTGTCTTATTTCGCCGTCACCGTTTCGCAAACCATTAATGCTACGGAAATATCATCTTAAAAACATCCTCTGTATATTCTTGAAGCATCTTATTGTTTCTTTATTTGTGTGTACATTTTTTATTCTCTTTTTCTACTGAACACAATCGTATTGTTCATCCTGTCTTCCCTTCATATGTTAATAATCTATCTGCCTTGGATTCATGTCTCATTGATTAACTGACTGTTATCTCCCCAGTTTAATCATATTCGTGCTTAGTCATTGTAAATTTTCTTTTCATTTCTTTTTTGTTTTTGTCTTTTGGACAAAGTTATCTCTAAATGAAAAACTGATCGATCCATTATGCAACATCTTTAATACATATGATACATTATCACTAACATTTTTTTGTCAACATATGTAAATTCATTTACACAATCCACCTATATTCTGCTTTTATTAATGTACAATGATGGTATCGAACAAGAGTTTGCTCATATATTTACCATATTTTATAGTTCCTATTGGTAATATTATATTTAATCTCATTCAAATAAATATCACTTTTGAGTTATCGAATGTACATCGTTTCTCTGAAATGTAAGTGAAATAAAACCATATTTTACTTCTTCATCAATTGTTACAGTTATTAATTGATCTCTTTTATAATGTTTAATGAGTGTACAATGTAGTGTAAGCAGTTTCAGTGTTGTCAAACAAGTTTTTAATTCTTAATTTCACAATAATTGTTGCTCATTGTGTACTATTCAGATAGTCTTTTTTAATAAGTCATGTTAAATCTAATTGTCTCATGACAACACTTTTTCTTCAACTTGAAACTATTATCTTATCCGATATTTTTTCATTCATAGTTAAAAAAAATTATAGTTCATGTGTTATTTTTTACAGTATTAATTGTTCAATATGGAGTATATGTGATGCGACACAATCATTTTATATAAAACTCCAGGTTATTGGTTAAGAGTACAAAACTGTAATCAACATTGGCCCGTATGCTTATGGCGTCGGTATTTTTTTTTAAAGCTTAGGTTATTTAGAGTGTACGTATATCTAACCTAATTGAGATTTATATTCATTTGGTAGGTCGTTTTCTGAAAAGTACACACTGAATCCGAAGGTTCTGGGAAACATCGTGATGTTTTTTGTCTTGTAAAATCAAATGGTGATGAGGTCTTTTAGGCACTACTCCTAGAATATATTGTACAGTTCAATTACGAACAAGGTATTCTTTAAGTCAATGAAATAATCTCTAATTATTTGTTCGCATTAAGTTCTCATTATTTTTCAAAAACAAAATATTCATCACTCCAGCTAACAAAATATTCCATAAGTTCTCTGGAATTTGTCGTACTCTCTGTTATTATGGTATATTGATCATCTGTGAATTCCATATCTTTAGTTATTTTCAGATGCTATTATATTTACCAGGTTTCATTTCTTAACCACGGAACGTCTAAACTATAAAAGTGTTCAGTGTACAGGTATTTTTCTCAAAAAAAACGTATGGATTGAGGACTGCAATTTTTACTAATATAAAGCTAACCACTAATATCGAGCTCTTTCCATTACGTACTATGTGATATGCTTTGACTTGTGTTATGTGTGTAAGCATAATATGGATATGTGTGTTGATACAGGAGGCTCGTGCTGTACATCTACTGTGATAAATAGTTCGCAAAGAGATTACTCGCATTACAAATGAAAACGTCAGTCATGAAGCATACTCTGAATGGAATAAAATGCGTTGCTAGAGCATATACTACTTAACACAATCATGTTGTCTAGTAGTCTAATGTTTTGTAAACCATATAATCAAGCTATATTAAAATTGATGATAGATTATTTCAGTCTTTGGTTATCGAGATAGGTAGACTGACTTGTAGTTGGAGTACTTATTGTATTGGGTGTGTTTTATCTTAAAGTCGCTCGACGGGTACATGCCGTTTTTCAGGTTGGACTATCCTTCTGCTGACCATTTGCTCAGAAAAACCAAGTCTTAATATAAGTTTACTCAGTTTTAGTTTTTGGTCATCATGCAATATCATCGGTTTTTGTTAGTTTCAGTGGAATTATAAATGCATCCTCATCGAGTATTATTTTCTTTTTTAAAGTCATGAGTTACAGTTATTTCATCTTCAAGAACTTGTGGCACTAATGCCGTCTTCGATGCTGTACATGTGGCGATCACCATTACCGATGAACATTATTTTAAAGCACCATTTTTTGGCCCATCTAACGAGTTTTTGTGCAACACCCTGAAATTTTAGGTCCTCACTGCTACATCACCAAATAAGTAGATACGTTTGTTATCCCGAAAAGCTGGTTAGTTTCTGGGTTGGCTTGCATTGGATCCAGAGTGACCTGGTAACAATGACTTTAAAGTAGTTTTATGGTCTCTTTCTTTGGTCCGGTTATCGACTAGTTCAAATATATTACCAGTAGGACTTAACAACTGAAACACTGGCCAAGAACTTAATGATTATTGATTCTCAAAACCCTAACCCGGCGTTTAATCATATGAAGATGAATAGCATATCGATTCATTTATTACTCAAAACATAATGATATACCTGACTACACATAAACACAGAAAATTATATTATGCACATAACTTTGTTATAAGTAATAGAAGACCACAGTGATATAATAGTGAACCGAGATGATACCGGCAGCAGTCGGGTTATCCGTCTCTCGTAGTCTGGAGACATCGCCTACGCGACGTGATTCTTCGCTGGGCGTGTGACCGTTTAAAGTCATGGTGAAGTCTAAGGTGGCGTGTAAGTGTATGACATGGTTCTGCAATGTTGTTCTGTGTTGTTTGTAGTTTTCCTCTGGCTGAAAAAACCTCGACATTGGAAGACTTCGTGATTCCCAGAATGCGGTCAGCAGATTCAGCCAGCTCGTCTACGGCGTTGTTTTGAAACGAGACAATGACTGCTAGCACCTGTTGAGGAAATTTAGACAAGAAAAGTTGTCTGAATAGGCCATCATCGAAAGTTCTTTGGCCAATTACTCCACTCGTTCTTAGCAACATGTCTGTCGCAGAACCATGTTGCAGGTCGATGTTATGGAGGGGTTGGTCTAACCGTTGTCGATCGGTTAGGTCTCCGCGTTTCAGGGTTTCGTAAGGTTCCGAAACATCATTAGTAAACATACAAGGTATTACGTACCTGCTAAATTTTGCACGGTATTGCCTTTACAACCGTGAGGTATTGTGCGCGTGTATCAGTCATTCCGTGCTCATATAAGTCGGCTTCTGCATAGCAGAACCAGGCTTCGATGTTGTCTGGCCAAAAGGGCATTAGCTGAAACGAGAGTGGTGTAGAAGTCTTGATCTTCAGTAGCTTATGAGTCTGGTCTGTCGTGTCGAATTTAAAGCAAAGGGATAAACGATGGGAAAATATTCAAAAATACGATAAAAATCATCACAATATATAAAAAGATAAAGTAAAGCAATGATTTATGAAGTCCCAAAAAGAAACAGACTCACAGTTTATGGGTTGGTAAAACAGATCACGTCGGGCTCACCAAGGAAGACACCACAGGTAATGTAGTTTGGCAACACTTTACCAGCAACACCTATAATTGAACCATGCCCACCCAATGAAATCAAAAGTCAGAAGCGAGGAGGTTGAAGATATGTATGAAAGATTATCAATATATCGAGGAGTGACTGATCTAAACTGGCTAGTGATGGCAGGAGACATTGAGCATGGCGTTTCCACTCGTGTGGATGCATGACCGATCGCCTTCAGCTAGGTGATTCCGCTAAAACTAATGTGGTCAGCATACAATGTTGAACGCTTACAGAGCTATTGATTTAGGGAATTTATTTACCACTTCATCGTTAACAAAATAATAGGAGGCTGGAAACGTAAGTTTGCACTCACAGACCTATCACTTTTAGTTTGAAAAATCACGCGTGCGTTATTTAAAAAGGACAGTGGTATTTTTCCTCGTTGAGTAAATTCTATTGTTTTGATCGTTATTAACGTATCAAGACTTCCGTTTTTACTTTGATTGAATTTCTTTCAGATAAAGTATTCGTTCGGAGTAACATTTTTGGTCTCTAAAATAGTTTATCGTCGGTACTCTAGAGTACCTTGCTTTTTCTATTGTATCCGTTAGCACTTCGGTCCTAACAATTTACAGTTTTTCTATTTTTCGGCCAAAGTTCTCTCTTCTCCCCTCAAATGACTGGAACGTGCAACAAAAGCATTTGCCAGAGTTCAGGCTGTCGATATCCCGTTGACAGCGGCATGCAGTTTGACGAGTGCAAAGGATAGTACCACGAAGTTTGCACGAATCTAACGCCTATGGCTTTCAAGCGGTTCAGTAAGAATGGATGAATATGGCTATGTCAACAGTGCTGTTTGGATGCAAATAGCCTGTTACCCGAGGCCATCTCAATGGTCGATGCCGCGAAGAAGGGTCTCGGCAAGCGCGATCAAGACACATCGGTCAGAACTCGATCTGTCGACACGCAGATTGACATAGGGCAGGCCCAAGTGAGTCCAAGAAATGCTGACCCACGCTGTCCAAAAGAGGAAGGACAGTCTCCAAAGAGGTCTGTCACAACCAGAAACTCGCGAAAAAAGTATCTTTTGTCCCTCGTATCAAAAATGGTAACCAGAAGAGAACTTCCGAAATCCAAAATCGCAAGGCTCGATCGGTTTCCAGCGCGAAAGACGACCCAGTCGTCTTGAACCCTCCGGAATCTCATAGTACTCCTGACGCGACTGTGGTTACTACTCCAAAGAACGTCGAAGATTGGGTACGGTTCGTAAGGAAAAAAC